CTGCGGGACCGTTCCACCTGGATCCGACCCGGTCCACCACCACCACCGAGAGCCGCCGCAGCCCATCACTACCAGGACATCGTGGCCACACCGTATGGTTCAGCAGTTCCCATCACAACGTAGAGCAGTGGGAGGTACTGCACGAGGCAGATCCCGTCCAGGCTAACGCAGACAACCGCCAGCATCACAGGCAGACCGTGTATCTGGAGGGTAAAGCAGTTCAGGGGCTACGTGACTCAGGAGCCACCATCACCCTGGTAAAAAGTCACCTGGTCTCAGACCAAGCTAAACTTAGCAAGACTGTGGCCGTCAGGGTAGCCGGGGGAGCAGTATACCGGCTACCCACAGCAAGGGTACATTTGCATTGGGGAGCGGGGGCAGGGCATGTGGAGGTGGGGTTGATGCCGCAGTTACCGGCGGAGGTTTTATTGGGGAACGATCTGGGGAGGCTCACATCTGCTTTTGAGCCCCAGACACCCATCACAGGAGAAGCTCACCCTGTGGTCACTCGACAACAGGCCCGCACCCAGGACTACAACACACTCCCGGAGGTCCAGGTAAGAGATCCGTCCCCTTCCCCTGACTGTGTTCCCTGGGCCCCTCCTAGCGAATTTGCAGCTGAGGTAGTGACTGATCCCACTTTGCAGGTGTATAGGGACAAGGTGACAGCAGACACGCCTGGGGGGGAGGGCGAAAGGTTTATTTGGGACAACCAGCTGTTATATCGGGAGACGGATAAGCAGGTATCCGGGTCAGACCCGATTGTGATGAGGCAGTTAGTGGTACCTCAGCGGTACCGGGCGGAGTTACTACGGATAGCCCATGACATTCCGCTATCTGGACATTTAGGGGTCAGCAGGACCCGATACAGGTTAACCCAAAGTTTCTTTTGGCCGGGAATTAGCCAGGAGGTGCGCAGGTATTGCAACACGTGCGATACCTGTCAAAGGGTGGGGAAAAGGGGGGACCGGCGCAAGGCCAAGTTACATCCCCTCCCCATAATCGAGGAACCCTTTAGCAGGGTAGCAGTGGACCTAATAGGACCCCTCAACAAAGCAAGCCCGTCAGGTAAAAGATTTATCCTGACCGTAGTAGATTATGCCACTAGATATCCAGAGGCGGTGGGCCTGACGAATATACAGGCTGAGACAGTAGCGGAAGCCCTGATGAAGATATTCTCCCGGGTGGGACTCCCCAGGGAGATTGTCTCCGATCAGGGCACCCAGTTCACCGCCGAAGTCACGCAGCGCCTCTGGAAGTTTTGTGACATTAAGCCGGTCATTAGTTCCCCTTACCACCCCCAGACGAATGGGCTCTGCGAACGTTTCAACGGTACATTAAAACAAATGCTCCGAACCTTCGCAGAGACCCACAAGGACTGGGAGAAGTTCCTGCCGCACCTCCTCTTTGCTTACCGGGAGGTGCCGCAGGAATCCACTGGGTTCTCCCCATTTGAACTATTGTTTGGCCGCAGGGTACGAGGGCCTTTAGATTTGATCAGAGAGCATTGGGAGGGAGAACGGAGCACTGACGGTACCCCCATCATACCCTATGTGTTGGCATTCCGAGACCGCCTTGAGGCCTTAACTCAGACGGTACGCGAAAATTTGCAGGCGGCTCAGACACGCCAACGCACATGGTATGATCGGGGCGCCAGGGACCGTAGCTTTCAGGTCGGGCAGAAGGTGTTAATCTTAAAACCTGTCCGACACGATAAGCTGCAGGCCGCCTGGCAGGGCCCTTATAAGGTGGTGGAACAACGGTGTGACACCACTTATATAATCGGCTCGTGCGTTGGTACTGGGGCGACGCATGCTCCATGTGAACATGATGAAGCCCTACCAGGAGCGCTCGGAGGAAGTGACCGCTATATGTGCGCCTAACTCCGAGGAGTTTGACAGTTTACCTCTCCCGGATCTGCTGGGAGAGGGTCAGTTATCCGGGGACTTAGGGGAGGTCACCCTGGGGGATCGGTTGAGCCCACAGGAGCGGAGCGAGGTACAACAGCTGTTGAGGGAGAAGCAGGATATCTTCTCTAATGTACCTGGTTACACTCCTCTGGCCACTCACCGAGTAGACACCCCAGGGCAACTTCCCATGCGTCAGACCCCGTACCGCATCCCAGAAGCGGTACGGGCGAACATGCGCAAGGAGATAGATGAGATGCTCCAGCTGGGGGTGATTGAGCCCTCTGACAGCCCCTGGGCATCTCCGGTAGTCCTAGTACCAAAGCGGGACGGCACGACCAGGTTTTGTGTAGACTACCGGAGATTAAATGAGAAGACGGTATCGGACGCCTATCCGATGCCCAGGATAGACGAACTCCTGGATCGGATGGCGAGGGGGCACTATCTCACCACAATTGACTTGTGTAAAGGGTATTGGCAAATACCCTTGGCCCAAGACGCCATCCCTAAGTCGGCCTTTGTCACCCCATTCGGCTTGTACCAATTTAAGGTCATGCCGTTTGGGATGAAAAACGCCCCGGCTACTTTTCAGCGGATGGTGGACCGCCTCCTAGATGGGTTCCAGGATTATACCTGCGCATACCTCGACGATATTGCCATTTTCAGCAATACCTGGCAGGAACACCTGACCCATATAGGAGCGGTCCTAGATAGGATTAGGGCCGCTGGTTTAACGCTGAAACCAGCCAAATGCAGCATAGGAATGGCTGAAGTACAGTACCTAGGTCATCGGGTAGGATGCGGCAAGCAAAAGCCGGAACCAGCCAAAGTAGAGGCTGTAGCTCAATGGCCCACCCCTAGGACTAAGACCCAGGTGTTAGCGTTCTTAGGAACGGCCGGATACTACCGGAAATTTGTCCCGAATTACAGTGCCCTGGCCAAACCTCTCACCGACTTGACCCGTAAAAACCTACCCCGCCAAGTAACCTGGACCCCGGAGTGTGAACAGGCATTTCAGTTGTTAAAAGATGCATTGACAAATGCCCCTGTCTTGGCAGCTCCCAATCCAACTAAACGTTTTCTTGTCCACACAGACGCTTCTATGTTTGGATTGGGAGCAGTATTAAGCCAAGTCGGGGCCGATGGCGGAGAACATCCCGTGGCTTACATCAGCCGGAAACTGTTACCTCGAGAAGTAAGCTACGCCGCCATCGAGAAAGAATGCCTGGCTGTGGTGTGGGCCCTGAAGAAATTACAGCCATATTTGTACGGACAAGCTTTTTCCCTGCTCACGGATCACAACCCGTTAGTATGGCTAAACCGGGTGGCTGGGGACAATGCCCGGCTGCTGCGCTGGAGTCTGGCGCTGCAGCCCTTTGACTTTAATATCCAGTACCGCCCGGGTAAACAGAATGGAAATGCTGATGGGTTGTCTCGACAAACTGACCTAGAGAAATGATCCGTGAGCCTCCCCGGACATCCCCAAGCCGATCCGTGTTGGATCAGACTGTGTATGCCGGCTTGTGGGCAAGGGGGAGCAGTGTAGCGGATGGCACCAGGCGACCCTACAAAAATACTGTATAAAGCTGCATCCGTGTATCTGCTGTATTTTCTGTGTATTGAAAAAGAATTGTATTCCTCTGATTGTTCGGTAGTTTCATTCCCTTAGTTTATTCGAATGAAACTACCGAACAACCAGACCTCCCTGTGTGAAGTGTGTCCTCAATTACCCGTTGCAACATTGTTGCGAATGGGTAATTGAACAGTAAGTAGCCGTCCTTTGTTCTCGGGGGTGGCCGCCATTCGACAAACGAACACGTGGCGGCGGCCATTTTAAAACTCCCGAACAGCGGTGTTTTGCCGTCGAGTGTCTGGAACTAAAATCGGACACTCGAGTAGGCGAACACCGCTGAGACCTCCACAGCCCTGGTCCGTTCGGTTCCAAACTACCGAACGGCCCCTCGTTCGGTAAATAGAGAATACCGAACGAGGGGATTCAGGCGAACCCTCCCTAGCCTCTATAGCTAGAGGCTTTCGTGTATTTTATTCCCTTATGCCAGGACCGACCGCAAGGCCCATTCACATGGAACCGAATTCGGCTAGCTCTGTTCGTGCGGTCGGTCATTTTATTCCCTCCATACTTTTCCCGAACCCCTGGTCCGATCTGGGTGATTTTTGGATATGTTGTTCACCCAGATCAGGGCTACCCGGGGATGTATGATTTAAAGGGGTACCCCTACGTTTAGGGGTACATCCAGAAATGGGGGGAATTGGTGTGCTGGCTAAGGGGATTATGATGCTAGCTGAGGGGAGGGGAGGTGTGGGAGGTTACCAGGACAGGATTGGCTACTGTAATAATTACTGTAAATCCCTCCCTTGCATGGGAGCATGCTTTATAAGGAGACTGTGATTAAAGGCTTGTCAGTTATGCTCCTGAAACTGTGTGTCGTCCAGTTATTGGGATTGCTGTTGGGATATTGCTGTATTTTACCTGCTGGAAACCCTGCCTTTGGATTTACTATTTACTTGTTCCTGAGTCTCACTTGGATTATAAGCGGAGATAACCTGGGTACTATTGCATCTCCGCTACAGGCATCATTCCTTGTCCTTTTTTGTCAGATTGTATGGATTAATTAGAGTGCTATGACTTCCCTTCACAGTTGACTGGCTGCAAGGTAAAGGCTCTCCCCAACATTAGACTACAACTACTGCCCAAGGTTAGTGTAATTTTCACATTTGGGCATGGGATTGGTCTAAGGGAGAGTCATTATATTTGTCAAACCACTCAAAACCAATATTAACAAAAACTGGGAGACAGCACCCATAGACCCATAACCTTATGGTGCAGAGTGCCCCTTATTTTCAAAGCACCATCTTTAAAATTGAAGAATCTAAAATGAAGAAATCAATACCAATTTTTAAACAGACTTTAGATCTACTGTTGGTTTTAAGATTCGGAAGGATCCTGGCTTTACTCAGCAAGAGGAACATTCTTAATACATTGTGGGGGTTTAGTTCAACACAATGATTAGAACATTTACTGGTTGACCCTATAGAAAACTGATATTTTGAGAGATCATTGTACATTATTTTGTTGCTTCCAACCTACCTGTTGGAAATTAGATAATAACAAATAGCAAACAGGGCAGGGTGTTTTACAAATAAACAGCTTATGAGTAACAGATAAATATGCTTAAAGAAACAGTGGAAGAAGACATATGTTTTATTACAATTGGTGATAATCGTCTGTGGAACCAGCAGGATAAATAAATATTTCACAATCAGAGTTCAGATATTTTAGGGTCATGATATTGCCAACGCAATCCTTTCCAAATACCTTTGATGGTGCATATTTTTTAGGTTTCAAACTTGGCGACAATACATTGCAGCATATTTTGATGCAGGTTTCTCTGCAACTAAAAGATAAAAAACTCAGGTATTGGCAATCATTGAAAAATGAATAAATAAATGAGAAAACCCGCTGATCAGGTCCATCGTTTAGTGTTAGGATATCATCAAAGTGGCCTGGATGACAAAGGCTGGGTTTAAAATTAAAGGGCTGGTTTGTGACATACAATACACCTTCCTATGCAAGGTGCATCGCAGTAAAATACAAAATAAATGGAACAAATGGCAGCATGGATAATTTATTAAAGATCCCCCCCACCACCTCCAAGCCCAGATTTCACTGGTTTTGTCAGAGGAATTATTTGTTGATAATTAATCAGCAGCCTGCAAGGTCCTTTATTGGATGAGAGTAAAAATAATTACACCTTTTTACTCATCCAAAAACGGTCGGTCCATTTCCACTACTGCAGAACTGCAAACCGTTCAGTAGGATAATATTGATAGGCTTGCGTTTTATGCCTGGGGTGGCACTATGGGGAGCGCCTCCCCTTTTTTAACAGTAGATGGCACTGAATAGCACGAATTCTATCCTTGGCAGGAGCAAACTCAGGCTGGAGTTTAAGGGTGGACTCGTACCATCGCATTGCCTTTTCAAATTCCTCCTGCAAGAGAAAAACAGAAGATTTTCGGAGAAGGAAAAAGCATTTGATGGATAAATTAGGCAGTCTTGCATTACAAGTACTCCTAACCCTTTACCCCCTACACCCTCCAAAAGACTCAAGTAGGAAACGGTTTATTAATGACATTTACATACAACGCTTTACAATTATAGAAAAAATTATAGAAAATTATAGAAAATGTAGAGGTGACGAAGGCCCTGCTCAAACAAACTTGCAATCTACGAGGATTGATAAGGTGGGCGAAAATATATTGTTAGTCTTGCCCAGGATGAGATGATGTGACTGGTATTCGAACATGGTAGACAGAAAAACAGCACTGGTCCAAAATTAGCTTTTCATGGTAGTAAATATTTTATTTTTATTTTTTTTTATGTGTGAGGTGCATCTCCGCTTATTGTGGTGAATAAAAGTGCCAATTTCTACCTGAAATAATTTATAAATAATTGAAGAACCCCCACCCTCCAGCTGTCATAATATCTGGTTAGGTTTTCTTTCTGATTCCGCTCCACAGTGCTAATTTAAATGAAAAGTTCCCTCTGCTATGGCACAAGTGAGCCTGCCAGCACATGTTTTCAGCATGCCCACTTCAGCCCAGTTAGCTGACTTCCAAGCTTTCAGTCACGAAAACTTGCGTATGTGTCTGTGGCTCAAAATCAGAGGCTTCTTGGGGGAAGAAGGGAAGGGCGTGCAAAGGCCGCAGACAGCAGATCTGCAGCATGTTGCAAGTTGTTTTTAGATATTGCCCCAACGAACATATGAAGGAATAAATACATGTTTGTTTTCAATATACTATTTATTTATTTTTTAAACCTTCCCTTTGGAGTGTTGCTTTAAGTAAATCAAATCAACCATAAGAAAAATAATAATTTTGCATATAAAGAACTTTCAAACTCAGACAAAAGAATACATTTTGCACCTTTTTTGTGTGTCAGTAGTATATATAATTTTAAATTACTTAAAAAGACCACATGGCATTTAACTCACCATTGCTACATAAACGTTGGCAAGCGTGAAGTGGTTCACTACAAAATGTGGTGCGATTTCCACTGCCATTGAGGCAACTATGATGGCATCATTCCAGAGTTTGGCGTTGTGGAAAATGTTGGCTAAGCTGATAAGAGGCACATCCTGTAAATTTGGAATAAAGAGAGTTAAATAGACAGAAACATTATACAGATCTGCACTTTGGGGTGATCATTCACAAATATGTGGATCCCAAGAATTTATCCGCAAGTCTCATTCTTTTAAAGTCAATTGCAGTTTCCTTATGTCTTCATGTCATATGCATTCTCCCAGAATGCATAACACTTGGTTAACTGCTCTCCTCCGTTTCTTAACGTTCCATGTCCCCCACACACCATTGCTACTTGTCCCTACTCCCATGGATATTAAAGGAATGTGCCACTGCCCTCCCCAAAACAAAATGTAAATATTATTGTTTAGTAGATATACTCCCAATTAAAACATGCATGCATTTAAGTATGTTGAGGCATAGATGAAAACAATTTGCAAAGGTTGTAAACCTCTTGTTCGCAGTCTTTGCAAATCCTCTCCTTTTAACTCCGCCCAGACTTTCAGTGGCTGTCCAATCACAGACTTCCCAATGCAGCTCAATAAGAAATCTTTGTAAGGCAGGTGCTCGAGCCAATCGCTGCCTCTTGTGTTTAGCTCCACTGAGCTAGACTAAACAACCAGGATGTAAGAGAACCAGTTGTCCAATTGACAGAGGGTGCTAGGTTCATTTATAAAAGTGCTAATTTCTATTGAAATCTGCACTTTTGTAAAATTAAGTATTTTAGGGGACTGGAGTGTCTCAAAGTCGTTTCTTCCAATCTGCATGTACAATAAATTATTTATTCTCTTCCCAGAGCTCCATATGGTTCACATGCCAATGATGTCTAGGATCTAGTTATCTGATGGACCAATGTCCTTTTGCCCCACTAAACAATTCTTGCCTGATTTAGTGTTATTAACATTGACTGGGTTTTCAGTGACATAAATGTATTTACCTTCATATGATGGGGGGCGTAATGCAGGGCCTGGCGTAGGCAGTCAATCGCTTTCTTCCCTTGACCCTTCACTCTCCAGTATAAAGCAGCCATGCTGGATAGCACCCATGAGGTCTGGTTCTGGAGAGCAGAGGAGCGCAGTAATAAAGCAAGGTCCACAAAAAGAAAATCATTTATTCATAAATTCATCTTTTTACGTACAAAGTAATAAAAACACATTGTTGATGGGATTAAAAGGAGAATAATGGGAATACTAAGGATATATTAAATAAAAAAAATCAATAACTTATAAAAAGAGTATGCATAAAATTATTCTTCACAAATACAAGCTTGATCACACCATTAAAAGAATATCAAAAGATCTTGTATAACTGAAGTAAAACTACTTTACTAATAATTGGCACATGTACACTGCTAAATAACTTGGCGAGGGAGCCATATTCATATCAAGGCAGTTTGCATCAATAAAGGAGCCCATAATGTACCATAACTACTGTAGTTCATTGGGCACAGGCAATGGGAGCTTTCCACTTTTTTATTGTCAAACCACTTTAGAGCTGTTTGACAAAAAAAAAAAGAAAAAAAAGAAAAAAAAAGGACTCTCAACAATATTCAATTTCCAAAATAAATAACCTAAATATATATAGATAGCAAAAACCAAAAAGGTTATGGTGGGGGGAAGAATTATGATTGAAAACCCCTTTCACCTGAAGTCTGTGGATAGTTAATAAAATGTTAAAAACAAAAATCTGCACACCAGTCAAGCCATAAGACTTGCTTTTCCCACAGAAATCCCATATTTGCAGTGATATTACTACCGCAAAGGATTCTGGGTGGGAATATGCAAATCAGTTTAACAAAGAATCACAATTTTGCCTCATTCCATTTTAAACATGGATTCCTTTTAATCTGTGTTTGCTGTATACAACAGCTTTAAAACACAACTTAGGAAAAGATGCAAAGCCAGTGAATCACTCGTGGACAGCTGTTTCATTGTTAATGCAAATCATCAGCATGAGGTTGGTCACTGGTTTGTTTAACCCCTTAAGGACCAAACTTCTGGAATAAAAGGGAATCATGACATGTCACACATGTCATGTGTCCTTAAGGGGTTAATGAGGCTTGGTAGTGCTTGGGAAGCAAAAACCAAAAAGGTTATGGGGAGAAGGGGTGGGATTGTGATTGAAAACCCCTTCCACCTGAAGTCTGTGGATAGTTCATACAAGGTTAAAGAAGCACTATAGGGTCAGGAACGCAAACATATTTCTGACTCTATAGTGTTAAAACCACCATCTAGCCCTTCTGCCTCCCTAAATATAGTAAAATCTTACTTGTATTCAAGCATGAAAAACTGTCTCTGCCCCGGTCTGCCTCAGAATAGCAAGCTGTCTGCTGACATCATCAGAAGTGTTGTTCTGAGCCAATAAAATGCTTCCCCATAGGATTGGCCAAGACCGACAAAGAGGCAGATCAGGGGCAGAGCTAGCAAGATTCAAACACAACCCTGGCCAATCAGCATCTCCTCATAGAGATGAATTGAATCATTGAATCTCTATGAGGAAAGGTCAGTGTCTGCATGCAGAGGGAGGAGATACTAAATGTTGTGATGCACACTAGGCAAGACTGAGATGGGAAGCAGCTCTAGCAGCCATCTGAGGAGTGGCCAGTGAAGTTATCACTAGGCTGTAATGTAAACACTGCCTTTTCTCTGCAAAGACAGTGTTTACAGCAAAAGGTCTGAAGGTAATGATTCTACTCACCAGACAAATGCAATAAGCTGTAGTTGTTCTGGTGACTAGTGTCCCTTTAAACAAAAATCTGCACACCAGTCAAGTTGTGTTCAAAGCTGTTGTATACAGCAAACACAGACTCAAAAGAATCATTGTTTAAAATGGAAGGAGTCAAAAATGTGATTCTTTGTTAAACTATATATATATATATATATATTATATATTTATTTTTTATTATTGACAAGGACAGTAACGTGAATAATTTCAAAGGAAACCAAGATCAAACCTCAAATACGGATCTCTCTGAAGATGCAGCTATTTAACACCGTTAAACCTGCTCTTTGAAATGCAACTGTTGAGTTAAAGCCACAACTAAGACGGGCAGGCAATAGGGCAATAAAAGGTGCACCAAGATGTAGAAGCTAAGCAATATTTCATTAACAAATAAGTGTTTTCAATGGAGAAGTTTTAAAATAAAAAAATAAAAAGAAATGTTTATTCTCTGTTTTTAGTGCTTTTTGCAAACATCCATTGTTTAGGCTGCAAAATAAAATATATAATATGTATAAAAAAAGTCAGACCCTCAAATTTTTGGAATATTTATTTTGTTATATTAACTGTTAATACAGTTGGAAGTTGAACATTTGCCCATGTGTTAATAAAGACTAAGCCCTCACCAGGGATAAATGTTCACTTGTCAGTAGCAACATGCAAGTGGAAATATTGAGCCCCAACTATGCCATAAATATATAGGGTTAGACTTATGATTTAGCACAATGAGCATGCCTTTAATGCCGTTATGATATAACACATTGTAGGGATTACATGTTCCAACGTTTTTCTGTCCCTTTAATTTAAGAGACCATATAAATGTATGGAATGAGCTATTGGAATTAGCCCGCTTACCTTCTCCAGGACCTTCATTATCCGAGTTCCCACTTGCTCTAACGACTGTGGGGGATATTTGTCTTTTCCAAGGTTCTGTAAAACCTTAAAAATAATAGACACTGTGTCACATAAAAGGTTAATGCTCACTGTGGACAATATGTTCTAGAAGGGCAAGGCACAGTGTACCTCTTTCAGCTGGCTCTCCCCAGTGTAGTGTATAGCGGCGCGGTTCGCTATCCCATACAGATGGTCCAATGTATGCATACTAGCCGCAAGATTTGGATTACACAGGGGCTCAGCGCCTGGCTCCTGCAGCTGTGTGGCGAAATCCACGTGCTCTGTGATACTGCAAACAGAAACATAAAGAATACTCCAATCAAACACAAGAAAGCATAATGCAGTGGTGGATGTGATGGGCCCTAGCTGCTGTTGGACTACAATTCCCATAATCCTTTGACTGCCATTAGCTGGTAGAGAGTTATGAGGGTTAAAGCACAACAAAATATAAGGGATTGTGGATGATATACATGTAACAGGCCCATCTTGTTCTTCTAACACTTATCAATCAATGTTCAGATTTGTTTCTTACACTCCGGACAGTGATGTGTTCATATCACGGTTTCTGGAGTTTCTAACTGTATTTGCGGACACCACCAATTCTGTCCAATCACAACCCTCACTGGGAATCTTAAAGGGAAACTATAGTGCCAGGAAAACAAGGTTGTTTTCCTGGCACTAAAGCTCCCTATAGTGCCCACCTCCCCCGCACGATGCAGAAGGGATTAACTTACGTGGGACCAGCAATGTCTGCCTCCGCTCCTCCCCTGCCGATGTCAAACGGTGGAGAAGACCTAATGCGCAGCAATGGCCACGCTTGCATTGGATTTTCCCATATTAAAGCATTATACAATGCTTTGGTATGTGGATTCCATGGTTGTCCTAATACATGGCATGAGGACATCCAGCGTCAGTTAGGCGACCTTAAGTCGCCTCAAAGCCTGGAAGTCTCTCTAGTGACTGTCTGGTAGACAGCCAGTAGAGGTGGAGTTACCCCACCATGTTAGCTTTGCAGGGTTAAGGGTGCTGGGACAGTGCACCCAGGCCACTTCAATGAGCTGAAGTGGTCTGGGTGTCCAAAGTGTCCATTTAAAAATCAACAGATTAGTTAGTTTCTCTGTAAAGGAACTATGTTTCCTTAAAAAAAGAAATAGATGGAGCACATGCTTTTCTAAATCTCATGGTAAAAGGAGGATCACAATTTTTTTACTATTATTTGTAATTTTACAGTTAAAGCCTCCGTCTATTCACTGGGACGATTGTCTGGAACAGGGGGTCCACTTACTCTATATTTTTAGCAGACACAGCCAGCCACGTGCTGGCCACTGTAGACAACTCAACTCTACGCAGTTTTAAGCATTCATCGGGGCTTGGCCATCCAAGACTCCGGTAATCTGGACGCCTTCCTGAACAGTGGAGAATAAAAGTAAAATATAAAACATTTGATTTAGAGGCCTCGCCATTTATTCATTAAACATGTGACAATGGAAAAGAAAACAAAGACTCTCTACTAAAATCATTGTTATATTCAAAATAAAAGATAGCGGGTCTGATTCACTAGTAAGTAATTAACAGACACCAAGCTTACATGACTCTCAGACTAAACTTTCCTATTCATTGACTTGCTCATAGCCCTGTTTAGATTAGGACAAATAGACAGAAGGCACTTAAAGACAGTGACAGACATAACTAGAATTACCAAGAAGAAAACGTTACTGAAATGCATTGAGCAATGTTGTGCTCCTAATGACCAGTTTTTATATACATTTTTTACATAAAAACAAAATTCTCGGTTTGTTTAAAAATGAGAACATTTATTACATACATACTTTTTAAAGGAACACTATAGTCACCTAAATTACTTTAGCTAAATAAAGCAGTTTTAGTGTATAGATCTTTCCCATGCAATTTCACTGCTCAATTCACTGTCATTTAGGAGTTAAATCACTTTGTTTCTGTTTATGCAGCCCTAGCCACACCTCCCCTGGCTATGATTGACAGAGCCTGCATGAAAAAAAAACTGGTTTCACTTTCAAACAGATGTAATTTACCTTAAATAATTGTATCTCAATCTCTAAATTGAACTTTAATCACATATAGGAGGCTCTTGCAGGGTCTAGCAAGCTATTAACATAGCAGGGGATAAGAAAATCTTAATTAAACAGAACTTGCAATAAAGAAAGCCTAAATAGGGCTCTCTTTACAGGAAGTGTTTATAGAAGGCTGTGCAAGTCACATGCAGGGAGGTGTGACTAGGGTTCATAAACAAAGGGATTTTACTCCTAAATGGCAGAGGATTGAGCAGTAAGGCTGCAGGGGCATGTTATATACACCAAAACTGCTTCATTAAGCTAAAGTTGTTCAGTGACTATAGTGTCCCTTTAAGTTTTAACTAGCTTGGATTAGCACTGTATTCATCCAAAAATAATTACATCCAAGTCATTCAGTATCTGATGGACTGTGATTTATGACAATCCAGAAGGGGTGAGCGTTTCTATTACCTGTGTACTGATTGTACTAGTGTGTAATAACAGTACACTATGTGATAAACGTAATTCACAAACATACTACTGAATGACTACTGGACATCCTGGTACCCATCCTGGTACCCAATAAAGTACCAAACAAGCATTCCCAAGGTGGCAATTGTACTGCACAGGGTGGCTCTACTAAACTACAGATAGACAGAGAAAACTTCCAATGATCTGTACTCACAGTGAAAGGTATTATCTGATTTTTGCTTTTGGAGAATTATAGAATAAATATAAAAACATTCATCCCAAAATAAACATACTGATTGTTCCAATGAGGTGAATAACGGAGAGGCACTACAAAATATGAGCGTAATTATTTAAACCTGAGTACACTTATTAAACCTAGATTATAAACTATAGGTAAAACTATCCCAGGATCTGTGTCAGCTTCGTACTCTCGCACATGTGTCAGACTAGGAACATGAATCAATGAAAATCCCAATGCGACTGCAAGATCCTTCATAGACAATCTGTGATGGGCGTGAGCTGCAATAAACATATATTTATATATAGGACATCACAAGAGGTGCTTGTTAAAGGTCTGTATTCTGCCATTTTCAGCCATGTATGTAAAACTATGTAACCCCTCCTCTTGTATATCTTCAGGAAAACGCAATAGTAAAAGGGGTCCTTTGTAGAGCATTATTGGCTAAAAAGTAAATCTGTCTTGATGTGATTAAACCGAACTGTGATTTCTGCTCAAAAACAAAGCTTTCACACAATTTTTTTGTAATGCAAGCAGATCCGTCTGAGGGTGCTCTGTATCTGAGCTTACAGAAGTCAAGGAAGAAGATAGGAGAAATTAATCTTAGCAATCATTAACCTAATTAAGAAATTATACAGAATGCGCTTTATACTGTAAGCAGGTCACAACTGTTCATGCGTACCAGCAGGACCAGGGGCTGGTATTTTTGGACCAGTGATTTCCAGTCCAGACTGTATCTCTTTATTATCAGAAAATTCTTCTCCAACGGAGTCAGTGAGGTCAAGAGTGTGAGAACCATCAGATTTTGGCTTCTTCAAACGCTTTACTTGGAACGTAATCTGCAGCAGAAATAAACCAAAACAAAAAGAAATATAGTAATAATGACAAGAAAATGCAAAAAGCTCTATCTGAGCCAAGCACAGCGGTGTAGGCTTCACTCTCAGCCAGTGAGCTATCAGATTATGTTCGGAAACAAGTGATGAGAATCTATATGATAATTTAGAGCAGGGGTGCCCAAAAGGTAGACCCCCATGATGCTTTGCATGATTTTAGAATGACAAAGCATCACGGAAATTGTAGTTTTTAAAAACACCTGGGGATCAACCTCTTGGGCACCCCTGACCAAGAGGATATCAAGTGTTAAGAAATTGGTATTTTTCTATGTTTTTATGTGATTAATGCTACAACCTTGTGGGGTATTGATAAATTTCTGCCACTGTTCTTCAAAGAGAAATCTACCGATACCATCATTCCATTTAAGCATATTTAGTAGTTAGAAAGAAAGAAAAAACAAAACAATGATGTATATGCAAAAGAAAATGCTTACCCATTCGGCCTCATCATCATCTTCACAATCTCCAAAGCAGGACCCAGGCTGACCATTATGGTTGCCCTTATTTAGAACTCTTATGCCCTGAAGGTCCATCCTTCTACCCTTTAATTCCAGTGCTCCCTCGAAGGCTTCCAAAGGCCATGAGTTTTCAAACTCGTCCACCAGAGCCATCATCTCTTCGGACATTGGACTCTCCCCAGTAGATTCATCAACCTCTGTGTGGTTTGTTTCTGCTAAGACGACAAAGGAATCATAAATAAAAATTTCAAAAACCAAACAAAAAAACCCCCAAACAAATAAGCAACAGTTTGTGTTTGCCTTTATTTTTCTAGTATAAGGTCTATAATAAATCTGAAAAAAAGGATAGAATAAAAATTCAACAGTAAATCTGATGATAATAAAATAACCAATTTCAAAGATGCTACTTTCACAAATAGAGCTCTGCAGTCAAGGAAGAGGGGAGAAGATAAATATATAGCTAAAACTATGATATCCCCTACTATATTCTAGAGCGGTGCATATCACCCAAGAATAAATAAAAAGGGGGCGGAAAAAATTCAGGAAAACACAAAAGGGTGGTTAATAATTTAAGCACAGTTTTCGTAAACAATTTATGCAATACTACATTAAATACTTTTGTAGACAGACAATCATCCAATAAATGTATAAACCCCTATTTCTACATAAGGCACCAGTTAGGTGATTTGGCTGGCGATAATGCACCTATAATTTTCACCAGATGATAATGAAACCCTCTTACTCTGGAGCCACTACACCACAGCCACTACAAGGAGGTTATGAAGATGTGGGCAGCAGAATCTAATTTAAAAAAATTACCATCATAGCACATCCAGGTAGTGGAGTTGAGATGCTCTAGGTATGAATGTATGCCCATACATTAATTTACCATAATGCCATGAGCAAGCATAAGCATTCTTCAATTGATGAGCCAAGCACGCAGTATCAAAGGACACCAACAATTTACATAATATGCCAGGATGTGCCTTGGAAGCCTCCTCCTTAATGCAAACCTAACCCAGCTTACCCCTCAAAAATATTATAACATTTTAGCTATCTAGTAAAAACAATTTAACAAATTAAAATTCTAAAACCAGGCATGTGATACATTGTTCATGCTATAATGACAGCTCTTACGTCGTCTGATGATTAGGTGGCAACTTAAACAACAACAAAATAGATCACTTCCATTTGCTCACCCTAAATCTTTGAGCAATGTTTGTATTTTTTACATAGGTATAAAACCCAGTTTTATTTTTTGCGCTTTAATTAAATGAAACAAATATTAAAATAATGGGACAAATAGCTTACTTCCAAGCTGTAGAGAAGAATCTTGCTCCTCAGCATTGTCCTGGTCATCTTTGTCCTCTGTTTCATTTAAAACCTGCGTGTAACTATGGGAATATTTCTTTGAACCGTTGGGTCCATTTTTACTGCTGGCATGGCAGTGGCCTTAAAGTAGACAAGTTTATGAACTTGTATTAGGAGAGAAATGGAAGGCATACTAAAAAGGATTAACAAAAAAAACAAACAAATAATGCTAGGATCAAGTCTACAAAACAATCTATATCTATACAGAAAAGACTTAACATAGAGTAATAAGGATTATAATGTGTGTATATACATATATGTGCACACACTGACCATAAAAAACAAAACACAAAAATCACAATATAGGTAGGTAGTTAAAAAACAAATCAAAGTTACGATTTATTAAGACAAACAAGAACAATACATTGTAGCCACAATGTTGGAGGGAACAATAAAGATGACAAATTCAGTGTTTAGATTTTATCAGGTATCAAAAATAAGACTGGCCTTTAAAATGATATGATGTGTTCACACTGGACTCAGCGCGGACATGGTGTGAGGAAAGGGTTCCAAAGTCATCTTGGACTGCTCTAAGAGGTATGCGAAACCTTTTTGCTTACTGTGGGCCATTTACATTATACATTTACATCTTGGCTTGATATACATGATCAGCCTTCCGCTATTTGTCAGGTTATTCGATTTCATAGAGGCCTTGATTACCTATGACCAAGCAGCAGCGAAGGCACAAGGGCACGATTTAGGTTTGTGCAAATTGTATTAAAAACCCTAAATAATAAAATCTATAAGAAATGTAAAAAACAAAACAAACAAAAAACTAAACAAAACTTTGTTGCTCTGATACTCCAGCTTGCACTCTTGGAAATCCAAGGTTAAAACAGAACATTGCAGTAACCTCAATGATCAAAGATTATATACACACAGATTTCAGAGGGCCAAGTGGTTCAATGATGCAGACCCCAGCTAAATCACCAGCCTTTAAAGCAGGAAAATTAGACCTCTTACTCATACATTACTTCACGGACATCACCTATCTAAAGACTCTCAAAGTATACAAATCATAAAATTACCCAAGCTGCCGAATTCGGACAAACCTTCGTTACCCCACTTAATAGCAACACGTTTTACGCTTACTTAAAACCACCAGCAATGTGTAGGAAAGCTTAATGTGTAATTCATGAGAAGCCACTGATGTGCATTTTGTACTCGTGCCTCGCAGGCTAAAATTAGTCTTTTGCTTGACATCAACGAACGTCTAATTTATAAGGCTGTGATGTTCATTGCTGACACATTCTGTTTTTTTCCCGCTCATCATTCAATAAATATAATTGTGCTATAACGCTGTTTATATTAGAGCAAGATCAGACATACATAAGCATGTGACACACACCACAGGCCATGTCAAGATCTAGGACTCTAGATGGAATGGTTCAGGAGGGACATTTATGTAGTACCAAAGTAACGCAATCTTAATTTCCAAAAATAATCCTAGCATTGTGATCTGTAATAAAGCTCCCATCATCACCTGGTCAGAAATTCCTCTGCCACGTGTTCCTGGAGGGGCCTGCTGGCTAGTCTCCTGCCCAAAGACTATGGGCCCTGCAAAAATCCTGTTAAGAGACTTCGTTTGTGCTGTTCCAGAGAAACTGCAATGTTTACATTGCAGCACTAAGTCTGCCTCCAGCCACTAGAGGTACTTCCTGGATGTTGACGGACTTTTGGTCCGCTCTGCATGAGGACATCCAGCCTCAGCTATTTCCCCCTAGTCAGTAACGTAAGAGGAGACAGTGCCGCGACCGGGGACGAGGAGGGGAATGGTGCAAGGAAGGTGGAAGGCAGGTATCCCTTTAAGAAAATAAATTCAAAATAAATTAATTCCTGATTTACAGAGTGTACAATATGTCTAGGATTCCAGTCTATTTTGGTGATTACAGATCATAAAAAGTAAAATAAAATTTAAATGTGGAGTGACTTAAGACATTGGTATGCTTGTCTATTAAGATTAAAAGTAATGGGGGGAGTGGCCAACCGCTGAGCAGCCTGGAAGCATAGGAAACTGCTCTGGCACCCGGGCTCTCAATATCCATAGCAATCCACTATCAGAACACTACAAAAACAGCAATCTGCACCATGTCTCACCCCAAAAGCAAGAAATCTACCCAAAAAGCAAAAAAAAAAATTTCTGCCAAAAATCAGCAACAGGCTCCGAAGCAGAACGGGCCCAAATCCAAGATTGCGCCGATGATCAGGACGCAGGAACGCTCCACACGGACGAAACCTCCCACAGGGCATCAGGGGAACTCACCAAAGCACACCTAACTGAAGCCCTAGAAGCAATGTCAGACAAATTAGTGAAAACCTGGCAGACATCTATTGAACAACTCAGGAAAGAGGTGCTGTATAACGGCACACATTGAAAACAAACTAAGTGAATATGCCACAGCACACAATGACATAGCCGACCATGTAGCAGCCTTAGAACAAAAGGTGACACTAATAGAGACGCGCATGGCGGATGCAGAGGACAGATCACGGAGAAATAACCTCCGATTAAGATGGGTTCCTGAAATGGTCTTCCCCGGCGACCTACAGGCGTATGTCAGAGGCCTGATGAGAGCATATGTACCTGAAATACAAGAAGACATGATGCTAGTAGATAGAGTTCATAGAGTCCCAAAACCAAGGAACCTACCTGATGCAACCCCAAGAGACGTCTTAATGAGAGCGCATTACTTCCACATCAAAGAGGCAGTGCTCCACGCCAGCAGAAACCGAGCAACACCACACGAAGACTACCCATCAGTGAAAATCATGGCAGATCTATCGGCAGCTACCCTCAAGCGGAGAAAAGAATTCCAAGAGATCACGGAGGAGCTGAGAAATAAAGGAATCCAGTACCGATGGGGATACCCCACCAAATTGCTGATCACCAAAAATGGCAGACTGAAAATCATACACACACCAGAAGACGGACTTAAGCAACTCAGAGAATGGGGCCTACTAACGGGATCCCCGAAAAAAGCAGGCCCAGCAGAGCGCCTAACACCTGAATGGCGCCAGATATCCAACAAATCCACATAACCAACAACACCGAACACACTTCGGATACGTGAGATATGGAGTTATATGTTTATGTGCTAATGTTGTATATGTTTCTTTAGTAACTTGTTTTTATGTTTATCTGTGGGATAACTAAGGACGGTTTTGCAAACGCCTATGGAAAGGCAAAGACAGGGGAGGCAGCGCCGACAGGGCAGTGTATGGTTGCAAGCCAGCAGAGGACGGACTCGAAAAAAGAAAAGAAAAAAAAAACAAAAAAACAACCGTAGCCAGAATTAGTAGGAGGCTCATAGCCCCTTATGTAATAGTCCCTATAGTATGTTGGCTACCCTACCACATCATGGTCATGTTGGAGGTCTTGATTTCGCTCATCTGATCCCATTCAACTGCCAGCTAAATAACTTATTTTATGTAGAAACACCCCCTTAAGGACTAGCGTTATGACAAACAGCAGACCAAGGGAGGATAACATAAGACCCACACAGGCCTGATGATTGAGGATAACATATCCCACCCCTAAAATCGACCAAAGACGCGACACCCTGCCGGGCCTGCCACCCCAGCGCATAAAAACACCACAAGGTTAAAGTTCTGAACCCCAAACGCAATAAGCATGAGAGCCCGACAGCCACAAAACCAGAGGCGTCGCTCGACGCTTACCCCCCATGGCACAATACCATAGTGCCAAGACCCCGCTTTGGGTCACCTTGTACATAAATTGGTTCTTTACCTCCCGCTCCCTCTTCCCTCTAAGTCCAGAAAGTCACACCTCCCTGCCCACCACCAAGCACAAACAAGGCCACCATGGCTATCACACCAAAAAACAGACACGCAGAATTCACATACGAGCTCTCTCTACCACAAACCCATAATATGAAAATATACTCACATAACGCTAGAGGACTAAACACCCCACACAAAAGGCGCTTGGCCCTAGCAGAAGCCAAACAAATTAAGGCAGACATCGTGTGTCTACAAGAGACACTTCGTAACTGCTAGAGTACCGCATTTTGGCATAAGATATTACCCCCACCAATACCACGCAACACACTCCTCAAAATCGAGAGGAGTCTCCATCCTCCTACACTCCTCTCTCACAGTGGAGCTTCTCCACGTTAAAAAAGACAACCAGGGAAGATACGTGATGCTCCAATGCTTAATAAATGAATCAAATTTTACCATAGTTAGCTTCTATAGTCCAAACACAAACCAAAGAAACTTTCTCCACAGAGTACTATCCACAACTCCCACCACACACACACACACACACAACATCAGTTGTACTCTGTGGGGACCTAAATCACCCGCTGGACCCATTTTTGGATACCACATTAAATCCCGCAGCACCTAGACAGAGAGTGATAAAATCACAATGTAAAGTTTTAAACAAATTAATAGGAGAATTTGGGATGTATGACTCCTGGAGACTAGGGCACCCAGGAGACAAACAGTTCTCATTTTACTCGGCAGTCCACAAATCATATTTGAGGATAGACTTTATACTCATATCGGGCCCACTAGTATCACAAATAACAAAAAGTGATATAGGAGACATAACATGGTCAGACCATGCCCCGACAACGATAGAACAAAAAGGAAACTTCCAACACAGAGGCAAAACACCATGGCGCCTAAATGACTCCCTATTGCAGAATAACACTTTTACCCAAAAAATGACAAACACACTCAGCGACTACTTTACGACAAACAGTACACCAGATGTACAACCAACCACAGCGTGGCAGGCCCACAAAGCGGTCATGGGAGGCCACATGATCAGCCAGGCATCATATCTAAATAAAAAATCTAAAGAAGAACACCAAACATTATTACGCACACTGAGAGACACAACCAAAGCGAACACCGTACAACCCACCCCACAGAGAACGCAAACAATCACAGACACTACAGCACGCCTAAATAATCTAGAGCTAGCTAAGACCGCACACATCCTACAAAAACTCAAACAAACAACGTACACGCAAGGGAACAAAGCAGGGAAATATTTAGCAACACAACTCAGGCAAAAACAATCTAATGCCAAGATCCCGTACTTACTCACACAAGGAGGCGAAAAAATGCACAACCCACAGGACATAAACGACAACATGGCAACACACTACCACACATTATACTACCTCAAGAACGATACAACACTACATCAACCCACCAACCTAGAAATTGAGGGTTTCCTCGCTCTTTCCAAACTACCAACACTGACAGACATACAGCGATAACAACTACAAAACCCAAAATCACAGCGAATGAGATCCTGCTCACCATAAATTCTCTGCCACCTGGCAAATCACCAGGACCAGACGGCTTTACAAACGCATACTACAAAAAGTTTGCCGCCACTCTGTCCCCACACTTAGAGATAGCATTCAACCACATCATACAAACAGGCCAGATCCCACCAGAAATGCTGATGGCACCCTGCCAAAACCGGGCAAACCCCCAAACAAGTGCCAAAATTTGAGGCCAATCTCACTCGAACACCGACATCAAATTACTAGCAAAAATTTCCCAAACAGACTAACACCCATCATACATGATGACCAAGTAGGATTTGTCGGTGGCAGACAGGGTGCGGATGGCACGCGTAAGATCCTAAACTTACTTCAGGTGGGGGCGCGAGAGGAGGGACCAGTGTCTGCTGCTCTCATTGGATGCTGAAAAAGCTTTTGACAGGCTGCACTAGCCCTTCCTCCGCGCAGTTCTATACAAATTCGGATTCCCCAACACATTCATGCGGCAAGTGGAGGCATTAAACTCTGTACCGACAGCTAGGGTGACCAACAGGGGCTTCGCCTCCAAAAAATTCGACATCACAAACGGTACTAGGCAGGGATGACCACTCTCCCCTATTCTCTACATCCTGTCACTAGAATCACTTACACAACTTATAAGGGATAACCCCAACATCCACAGCATAAAAAGAAAAAACAGAGAATACAAAATCACCTTATTGGCGGATGATATACTCCTCACCCTAGAACAACCTCACATCTCACTGCCAAACTTCCACAACACCCTAGCATGTTATAGCAAATGCTCACACTATAAGCTCAACATCGCCAAAACGCAAGCCCTGGGGATAAACATCCCCACAGCAACACTGGACAATCTCCGAAAGTCCTTTAATTACGACTGGAGAAAAGACCATCTCAAATTCCTAAGGATCAACATCACCCCCTCACTATCAAACCTATACAAGACAAACTACCAAAAAACACTAAGGGAAACCAAAAATATACTAACAGGGTGGAGAGGTAAATACATTTCATGGTTGGGCAGAATGGCTGCTATAAAAATGATAATCTTACCGAAGCTACAATACCTCTTTAGAAAACTCCCCATAAAATTACCAAGCCACTTCCTTCAAGAAGCGCAAAAAGTCATCATGTCGTTCATATGGGATGGCAAGAAGCCAAGAATATCCTATATCTGCCACGAACACAGGGAGGGATGGGGGTACCAAACATACACAACTACTACCAAGCAGCAATCCTCAGCCCACTCCTAGCAGAAAGCAACAAAGACCAAGCAAACCAATGGTCGGACATAAAGGCACACCACGCCAATGGGATACCAATCTCTGTCTTAGCCTGGCTCCCACACCCACACAGACCCCCGCAAAAAATTATGCTCCCAACAACAACACTCACCCTACACATATGGGACCAGTACTGCCACAAAATGAAATGGAAAGGTAAACTTTCCCCCGCTACCCCAATAAAAGCTCTCCACCATATAATACCAAATTTCAACCATGCCATTTGGCAACGACATGGCATCAAATTCCTACACCAAATGCTGCAGGGCCAAGAGCTCACAAAATTTGAAGAACTAACAACAGCGTTCCACCACAACCCTACAGCTCTATTCTCATATAGGCAAATCCAGTCATGGCTTAAAAAACAAACCATTACCTACAAAGATGATGTACAGGGACAACTGCTGACGGTGGTAGAAAAAAAATCTGTGCACGCCTCTCTCCCCCTAAAAAACTACTCTCTACAATTTACCAAACGTTACAGACCTCTAAAACCCACGCACCATTCCCATTCATTCCCTGGGAGAAAGAGTTCACGCACCCCCCAAAGTCCGCAACAATGGAAAGACATACTGCAAGCACACAGCTCTCTCTCAAAATGTACCTCCCATATGAAGCACTCCCGTAAAATCTTATACAGGTGGTATTTGGTCCCCACCCGGATAAAAGCAGCACACCCACAGGCCACAGACACATGCTGGAGATGCCAACAACACAAGCGAACAATGCTCCACATCTGGTGGACGTGTCCTGATCTCACCACCTTCTGGGATGACATAATAAAACTCATATACCTAAGCACACAAGACTAGAACGCAATCCAGAAATTTTCCTCCTCCAGCTATTCCCCAAAAACCTAAAGAAACCACAAAAATACTTAATATACCACATCATTATGGCAGCGTTAATGGTGATTAGCAGACACTGGCGATCTGCCTCTCCACCAAAGCTCCAGCAGTGCATACAAACAATAGAAACCACCAAACAATATGAGCTGGCGGCCAGACGCATAAACTCACTGAAAACAAATTGGACAGAGGCATGGGACAACTGGAGTAGCCACCTACAGAACTCCAAAACACCCACTTAAAAACCGTGCAGGCGGATATCTACGAACCGACAGCTGTGTCCCTAACATAAGAGAAATGTATAGAATGTAATTAAACAAGAGATATGAACATTGCAATATTAATATTATGCTGGTTAAAGCAATAACGACAGACACATATAAGCACTAGAAAGATGTAGCTCACCCCATCCATACATATTATACCTGGTCATGACAAAGGAGCTGACAGAAACTGAAAAGGGAAAATCCCAAATGAGTATCAAACGGGCAAAATATGTGTAGCGGATTGCACCAGGCGACCCTACAAAAATACTGTATAAAGCTGCATCCGTGTATCTGCTGTATTTTCTGTGTATTGAAAAAGAATTGTATTCCTCTGATTGTTCGGTAGTTTCATTCCCTTAGTTTATTCGAATGAAACTACCGAACAACCCGACCTCCCTGTGTGAAGTGTGTCCTCAATTACCCGTTGCAACATTGTTGCGAACGGGTAATTGAACAGTAAGTAGCCGTCCTTTGTTCTCGGGGGTGGCCGCCATTCGACAAACGAACACGTGGCGGCGGCCATTTTAAAACTCCCGAACAGCGGTGTTTTGCCGTCGAGTGTCTGGAACTAAAATCGGACACTCGAGTAGGCGAACACCGCTGAGACCTCCACAGCCCTGGTCCGTTCGGTTCCAAACTACCGAACGGCCCCTCGTTCGGTAAATAGAGAATACCGAACGAGGGGATTCAGGCGAACCCCCCCCAGCCTCTATCGCTAGAGGCTTTCGTGTATTTTATTCCCTTATGCCAGGACCGACCGCAAGGCCCATTCACATGGAACCGAATTCGGCTATCTCTGTTCGTGCGGTCGGTCATTTTATTCCCTCCATACTTTTCCCGAACCCCTGGTCGATCTGGGTGATTTTTGGATATGTTGTTCACCCAGATCAGGGCTACCCGGGGATGTATGATTTAAAGAGGTACCCCTACGTTTAGGGGTACATCCAGAAATGGGGGGAATTGGTGTGCTGGATAAGGGGATTATGATGCTGGCTGAGGGGAGGGGAGGTGTGGGAGGTTACCAGGACAGGATTGGCTACTGTAATAATTACTGTAAATCCCTCCCTTGCATGGGAGCATGCTTTATAAGGAGACTGTGATTAAAGGCTTGTCAGTTATGCTCCTGAAACTGTGTGTCGTCCAGTTATTGGGATTGCTGTTGGGATATTGCTGTATTTTACCTGCTGGAAACCCTGCCTTTGGATTTACTATTTACTTGTTCCTGAGTCTCACTTGGATTATAAGCGGAGATAACCTGGGTACTATTGCATCTCCGCTACATTGGTTGGCAGCGCTGGGATCCAGACTCACAGAGGAACAAGCCTAAATGGAGTACGGATGGAGATTGATTTTGCCACACTAAAACGCTCCACGCTAAAAGACCTTCTGGAGGCAAAGGGTATACAAGCCAGCAATAAGACAAAAGCGGCACTTATCACTGAACTGATGGCGGAGTACCGAATGGAAGGCGATTCGGTTCCCGAACAAGGGAATTCGGGAGAAACACCGGAACAAAGGGAGTTCCAGAGACAGGTACAATTTCGGCTGTCTTTCTATGGGGAACACCCTCCAACAGAGATTATTTCCAAAACGTTAACGGAGGTCCAGGAGTTTATACTGAGGAGTCAAACAGCGGCCCCAGAACGCAGCTCTGCAGTAAATATGCCACATGAAGGTAAGCCGAAAATACCGTACCAGGCTTTTAAAACATATGTGGAGGCAGAGGAAGATATAGACTCTTTCCTGCAAGATTTCGAGAGACTGTGTGCACTGCATAGAATCAGCGCAGAGGACTGGGTACCCATTTTGGCAGGAAGGTTAACTGGGAGGGCAGCTGAGGCATACCGGACTGTACCGAATGATGAAATTCGGAATTATCACAAAGTGAAAGAAATTATACTGGCCAGGTATGCTATAACACCAGAAGCATACCGGCGGAGATTCAGGGATCTAAAGAAGGTGGAGAAAGACTCACATGCTGAGTGGGCATGCAGACTACAACGAGCAGTCTTGGGGTGGGTGCAAGCGAGCAAGGCACAGTCTATGGAGGATGTATTGCAAATGGTACTGCTGGAGCAATTTTATGAAGGAGTAACCAGCAAGGTACAGGAGTGGGTAAGAGACAGAAACCCTACCTCCCTTACCGAAGCAGCCAGGAAGGCAGACGAGTACCTGGATGCACGCAGGCAGCAAAAACCTGCAGCTCCAAAAGTCCCTTTTAAAACCTTTGGGGGAAATAACTACACGCCAGCTCTACCAAGGTCACTGCCACCACCACCACCACCCGCTACACAGCCACGTTTCCGCCAGCCCACGTCGGGCCCTTGCCACCACTGCCAGAAGTGGGGACATTATAAAAGGGAATGCCCCCAGCTGCGGGACCGTTCCACCTGGATCCGACCCGGTCCACCACCACCACCGAGAGCCGCCGCAGCCCATCACTACCAGGACATCGTGGCCACACCGTATGGTTCAGCAGTTCCCATCACAACGGTAGAGCAGTGGGAGGTACTGCACGAGGCAGATCCCGTCCAGGCTAACGCAGACAACCGCCAGCATCACAGGCAGACCGTGTATCTGGAGGGAAAAGCAGTTCAGGGGCTACGTGACTCAGGAGCCACCATCACCCTGGTAAAAAGTCACCTGGTCTCAGACCAAGCTAAACTTAGTAAGACTGTGGCCGTCAGGGTAGCCGGGGAGCAGTATACCGGCTACCCACAGCAAGGGTACATTTGCATTGGGGAGCGGGGGCAGGGCATGTGGAGGTGGGGTTGATGCCGCAGTTACCGGCGGAGGTTTTATTGGGGAACGATCTGGGGAGGCTCACATCTGCTTTTGAGCCCCAGACCCCCATCACAGGAGAAGCTCACCCTGTGGTCACTCGACAACAGGCCCGCACCCAGGACTACAACACACTCCCGGAGGTCCAGGTAAGAGATCCGTCCCCTTCCCCTGACTGTGTTCCCTGGGCCCCTCCTAGCGAATTTGCAGCTGAGGTAGTGACTGATCCCACTTTGCAGGTGTATAGGGACAAGGTGACAGCAGACACGCCTGGGGGGGAGGGCGAAAGGTTTATTTGGGACAACCAGCTGTTATATCGGGAGACGGATAAGCAGGTATCCGGGTCAGACCCGATTGTGATGAGGCAGTTAGTGGTACCTCCGCGGTACCGGGCGGAGTTACTACGGATAGCCCATGACATTCCGCTATCTGGACATTTAGGGGTCAGCAGGACCCGATACAGGTTAACCCAAAGTTTCTTTTGGCCGGGAATTAGCCAGGAGGTGCGCAGGTATTGCAACACGTGCGATACCTGTCAAAGGGTGGGGAAAAGGGGGGGACCGGCGCAAGGCCAAGTTACATCCCCTCCCCATAATCGAGGAACCCTTTAGCAGGGTAGCAGTGGACCTAATAGGACCCCTCAACAAAGCAAGCCCGTCAGGTAAAAGATTTATCCTGACCGTAGTAGATTATGCCACTAGATATCCAGAGGCGGTGGGCCTGACGAATATACAGGCTGAGACAGTAGCGGAAGCCCTGATGAAGATATTCTCCCGGGTGGGACTCCCCAGGGAGATTGTCTCCGATCAGGCACCCAGTTCACCGCCTCTGGAAGTTTTGTGACATTAAGCCGGTCATTAGTTCCCCTTACCACCCCCAGACGAATGGGCTCTGCGAACGTTTCAACGGTACATTGAAACAAATGCTCCGAACCTTCGCAGAGACCCACACGGACTGGGAGAAGTTCCTGCCGCACCTCCTCTTTGCTTACCGGGAGGTGCCGCAGGAATCCACTGGGTTCTCCCCATTTGAACTATTGTTTGGCCGCAGGGTACGAGGGCCTTTAGATTTGATCAGAGAGCATTGGGAGGGAGAACGGAGCACTGACGGTACCCCATCATACCCTATGTGTTGGCATTCCGAGACCGCCTTGAGGCCTTAACTCAGACGGTACGCGAGAATTTGCAGGCGGCTCAGACACGCCAGCGCACATGGTATGATCGGGGCGCCAGGGACCGTAGCTTTCAGGTCGGGCAGAAGGTGTTAATCTTAAAACCTGTCCGATACGATAAGCTGCAGGCCGCCTGGCAGGGCCCTTATAAGGTGGTGGAACAACGGTGTGACACCACTTATATAATCGGCTCGTGCGTTGGTACTGGGGGGCGACGCATGCTCCATGTGAACATGATGAAGCCCTACCAGGGGCGCTCGGAGGAAGTGACCGCTATATGTGCGCCTAACTCCGAAGAGTTTGACAGTTTACCTCTCCCGGATCTGCTGGGAGAGGGTCAGTTATCCGGGGACTTAGGGGAGGTCACCCTGGGGGATCGGTTGAGCCCACAGGAGCGGAGCGAAGTACAACAGCTGTTGAGGGAGAAGCAGGATATCTTCTCTAATGTACCTGGTTACACTCCTCTGGCCACTCACCGAGTAGACACCCCAGGGCAACTTCCCATGCGTCAGACCCCGTACCGCATCCCAGAAGCGGTACGGGCGAACATGCGCAAGGAGATCGATGAGATGCTCCAGCTGGGAGTGATTGAGCCCTCCGACAGCCCCTGGGCATCTCCGGTAGTACTAGTACCAAAGCGGGACGGCACGACCCGGTTTTGTGTAGACTACCGGAGATTAAATGAGAAGACGGTATCGGACGCCTATCCGATGCCCAGGATAGACGAACTCCTGGATCGGATGGCAAGGGGGCACTATCTCACCACAATTGACTTGTGTAAAGGGTATTGGCAAATACCCTTGGCACAAGACGCCATCCCTAAGTCGGCCTTTGTCACCCCATTCGGCTTGTACCAATTTAAGGTCATGCCGTTTGGGATGAAAAACGCCCCGGCGACTTTTCAGCGGATGGTGGACCGCCTCCTAGATGGGTTCCAGGATTATACCTGCGCATACCTCGACGATATTGCCATTTTCAGCAATACCTGGCAGGAACACCTGACCCATATAGGAGCGGTCCTAGATAGGATTAGGGCCGCTGGTTTAATGCTGAAACCAGCCAAATGCAGCATAGGAATGGCTGAAGTACAGTACCTAGGTCATCGGGTAGGATGCGGCAAGCAAAAGCCGGAACCAGCCAAAGTAGAGGCTGTAGCTCAATGGCCCACCCCTAGGACTAAGACCCAGGTGTTAGCGTTCTTAGGAACGGCCGGATACTACCGGAAATTTGTCCCGAATTACAGTGCCCTGGCCAAACCTCTCACCGACTTGACCCGTAAAAACCTACCCCGCCAAGTAACCTGGACCCCGGAGTGTGAACAGGCATTTCAGTTGTTAAAAGATGCATTGACAAATGCCCCTGTCTTGGCAGCTCCCAATCCAACTAAACGTTTTCTTGTCCACACAGACGCTTCTATGTTTGGATTGGGAGCAGTATTAAGCCAAGTCGGGGCCGATGGCGGAGAACATCCCGTGGCTTACATCAGCCGGAAACTGTTACCTCGAGAAGTAAGCTACGCCGCCATCGAGAAAGAATGCCTGGCTGTGGTGTGGGCCCTGAAGAAATTACAGCCCTATTTGTACGGACAAGCTTTTTCCCTGCTCACGGATCACAACCCGTTAGTATGGCTAAACCGGGTGGCTGGGGACAATGCCCGGCTGCTGCGCTGGAGTCTGGCGCTGCAGCCCTTTGACTTTAATATCCAGTACCGCCCGGGTAAACAGAATGGAAATGCTGATGGGTTGTCTCGACAAACTGACCTAGAGAAATGATCCGTGAGCCTCCCCGGACATCCCCAAGCCGATCCGTGTTGGATCAGACTGTGTATGCCGGCTTGTGGGCAAGGGGGAGCAGTGTAGCGGATGGCACCAGGCGACCCTACAAAAATACTGTATAAAGCTGCATCCGTGTATCTGCTGTATTTTCTGTGTATTGAAAAAGAATTGTATTCCTCTGATTGTTCGGTAGTTTCATTCCCTTAGTTTATTCGAATGAAACTACCGAACAACCAGACCTCCCTGTGTGAAGTGTGTCCTCAATTACCCGTTGCAACATTGTTGCGAACGGGTAATTGAACAGTAAGTAGCCGTCCTTTGTTCTCGGGGGTGGCCGCCATTCGACAAACGAACACGTGGCGGCGGCCATTTTAAAACTCCCGAACAGCGGTGTTTTGCCGTCGAGTGTCTGGAACTAAAATCGGACACTCGAGTAGGCGAACACCGCTGAGACCTCCACAGCCCTGGTCCGTTCGGTTCCAAACTACCGAACGGCCCCTCGTTCGGTAAATAGAGAATACCGAACGAGGGGATTCAGGCGAACCCCCCCTAGCCTCTATCGCTAGAGGCTTTCGTGTATTTTATTCCCTTATGCCAGGACCGACCGCAAGGCCCATTCACATGGAACCGAATTCGGCTAGCTCTGTTCGTGCGGTCGGTCATTTTATTCCCTCCATACTTTTCCCGAACCCCTGGTCCGATCTGGGTGATTTTTGGATATGTTGTTCACCCAGATCAGGGCTACCCGGGGATGTATGATTTAAAGGGGTACCCCTACGTTTAGGGGTACATCCAGAAATGGGGGGAATTGGTGTGCTGGCTAAGGGGATTATGATGCTAGCTGAGGGGAGGGGATGTGTGGGAGGTTACCAGGACAGGATTGGCTACTGTAATAATTACTGTAAATCCCTCCCTTGCATGGGAGCATGCTTTATAAGGAGACTGTGATTAAAGGCTTGTCAGTTATGCTCCTGAAACTGTGTGTCGTCCAGTTATTGGGATTGCTGTTGGGATATTGCTGTATTTTACCTGCTGGAAACCCTGCCTTTGGATTTACTATTTACTTGTTCCTGAGTCTCACTTGGATTATAAGCGGAGATAACCTGGGTACTATTGCATCTCCGCTACAATATGCCCCCCTTGGTACCTTGGTACCAGCAGGGATTTAACACCTACTTTTATTGCATGACGGTCTTTGCTGTCACTGGGCATTAAAACCCTGCACTGCATAATGGCATTGACTGTCATGTGGTCCTTAAAGGACCATTATAGGCACCCAGACCACTTCAGCTCAACACTGCAGCTAAAAACATAGTACTTTCAGAGAAACAGGGTTAGTCCAGCCTCTAGTGGCTGTCTCTGTGACGTCCTCATGGAGTCCAGTGTCAAATAAGATCCCCATAGGAAAGCATTGAGTAGCTGCTTTCCTATGGGCGAGTGTGAATGCGCGCACGCACATCTGGCCACACATGCGTATTCAGATCAATGCGGAAGCTGACATTGGTGGGGAGGAGAGGTCGCCAGCGCAGGATTAAGGTAAGTGGCTGAAGGGGTTTTAACCCTTTCAGCGCCGACGGAGGGGAGCACTCCAAGCGCCAATAGTGCCAGGAAAATGGGTTTGTTTTCCTGGCACCATAGGAACCCTTAAAGTGGTCCAAAGTGAACATGATGCGGTATCACTTTAAAAGTGCACTCTAAGAACCAAAACCACTATAGCCCACTAGGGTCCCAAGAGTGGCCTAATTTGTAAAACTATTTAAGTTTTTTCACTGAGCCAAGCATGTTGGGAAACTGGACGAGACACAGTTCTGGAACTCAATCAAAGGTTTATAAGACCACACTCTGTTTTTTTATGCACAGACCCACCAGCATGAGGTCTCCATAGGAAAAAGTACAAATCCCTTTCAAAAGAAGGATAACTTAATTTTCTCTCAGTTACAGGAAACCATACAATGCTCCCCCTGTTCGGTAGTTCTTTCCGAGCGGTGTTCTCCTAACTCCTCTGGGAAAGGAACAGGCAGCGATACAAGTTTCTCTGGAGTTCGCAGGATCACGTAGCCGTCCAAGAGTTCCAGACACTCGACCATGTACTGCTGCCTGGGTTCGGGAGACAAAATGGCCGCCATTCACTAGAGCATATGTGTTCGGTTATACGAATGGCGGTCCTCCAAGGAAAGCACTTGAACTAATGGTTCCTCTGAAGTTTGCAAGCCAAGGGTGGTTGGTGGTTGAAGGGTATAAAATGGGAGACCACAAAATCTTTAATTCGGTACACTAAAAGGGTTCGGGAAACTTGGGAGACCAGCATGGGTAAGTAATCGAAGGGGATAGTATAAGGTCCACCACAGTGTCCTTCTGCTGCCCTCCCTCCATGTCAAGCAAATATAAACCGACACTGGCTCCCTCTCCGGCTCCTCCGATATCATCACGGGGGGAAACCTAATGTGCCACACGCACGTTGAGTCTTCCCCACAGGAAAGCATTGAATAAATGCTTTCCTATGGAGTTTTGCAAGACGCTGGGCGTCCCCATACAAAGCGTGAGGATGTCCAGTGTCATTTCATTGGAGTCATACTCTGTGAAACAGCAGTAAAAGCCTCTAGTGGATGTCAGGTAGACAGCCACTAGAGGGAGTCTTAACATTGCAATATAAACATTGCAGTTTCTCTCAAACTGCAATGTATTAAATTGCAGGGATAAGGGGACAGGGCACTATGGCTACTTCAATGATATGAAGTGATCTGGGTACCTATAGTGCCCCTTTAAGGCATGGAGAGACATGCAAGGGTTTATATATGGTGCATAAGTACAGAGGAAATGACCATGCTTTTTTACATACATTATATTATTTTTTTAAAGGATCGGCTTACTTATGGTGTAGACAGAGTGTCTACATTAAAAGTACACACACCACACCAGGGCTGGGCACCCTTCGGCACTCCAGATGCTGTGAACCTCATCATCCCTGATGCTTTGCTATCATTAAGGCTGTAACATCTTAAGTGCCAAAAGGTTTCCTACCCTCGCGCTACACCATAACAACAACAATTTCTTGTAGTGGTTAGAATGTTGGAAATATTCTTTTTTTTTTTTAGTTTCAGCTTCGGTTTGAGTGGGTCGATAAACATGGGGCTCTACTGGCACCCAAGCTCATCCCTAGGTCTTACAGTATATTACCACTGCTTAATTTTGAAAGATTAATGGAGAGAAAAACTCTTGTGTTATCTTGGTGAGAGGGGCTGAGCTTTGGGCGCTGGGAGAGCCTTGTTGTTTTTTTTTTTTATCAATCTGCTCCATAACACACTGAGAAAAAAAACAAAATACGAAAAACAGAGACTGCACAGAACATTCCTTGCACTATAACCACTACAATAAGCGCTGTTGGTTATGATGCTTAGAGAGTCCATTTAATTATTTGTACATCTTTTGGCTGTGAATATTATAAAAGCATTAAAGGAAAAAACAGACTGAAAAGAACGTTCATCGATATGTGTGCGGCTCCTCCTATGTTGGGCTCTCCTCCCAGTTTATGGCGTCTATGATCGTTTCTTTGATTTTTTTTTTGTGACACTATGACATGGCTTTGTCAACGCTAAAAAAGCTATCAGTCCATCTATTTCCAAAGCACAGATGAAATACTTTATGCTCCTCACATCTTGAAACACAAAAGAGCGAGCTGGGCTAAAAATAGCTCGCTCAATAATTAATGGAGTTCTGCCATTTCTATATGAAATTACTTTGCTACTCCCCTGGGTTATTGCTTTCATTCCCCTCCCCGTCACTGGCTGCAGATCAGTTTATGACGTGCACGTTCACAAGCAACAGTGACTTCCCTCCAATATTTGGGCCTAAACAAGGAGGACGGATTCTAAATTTAACTCTCCCAACCAGCTCGTAGATAGGAGACTAGAAAAAGTCATTAGAAATGCCTTGCACATGTTGCTTTGCTGCTACATATATAGAGGCAGGCTGTGCTCGGAATATTAATGACGGCCTCAGATAGCACGGTCTCCAGCAGAGAGCAGAGCGTGTGTGTGAGACAGGAAGAGAGACTGAAAGAGGGGAGAGAAAGAGAAATGAATCACGAACAATGAAATGACTGAGATTAAAAAAAAAAAGTAAAATTTTCATCTTAGACAAAAATAAAATATAAATACATTTTACAAATTGTGTACATACTAGAGGTTAAATAATACAAATATCACTTGAGCAACCTCCCACCAAAACCATCCTTCTCTGAACTACAAAAATACGCCATTATTCATTAACTTTTTTCAATTAATAGTAAAAAGAAATAAACCATGCATTTTAGAAATAGATGTTAATTTTCCACCATGCGTTCTTACTGCGCTTAATTGGAGCAGGACACTGTAGCACAAATAGTTAAAAGATGAGATATATGTATCCGTTATGCAATTACAAGGGTTCCGTCATGGCGAGCTAGTCATCAAATCCATTTATCACACAGGCATAGGGCTCTTAGTGATCAAGTCTCATTGTCCATGAGGCGTTTTTCTGTTATTTGAGGGTAATCATGTTCTTTTTATTAGTGGCGTGATTTGTACTGGAACATTAAACGATGACGACTCGTGTTTGATGACGTAATGAGAAGCAGATATACGTGCAAAGCTGGAGCTGACTGAGAAAGTCGTGCAGCCAACTAAATAACGTAGATAGACAGAAGTGCTTACAAAGGGGCAAAGAAGAAAGTATTTAAATCATGTGGAACTGAATTTTGTGGCTTTGAAAAGATGATTCTTATAGACACCTTCGTCATGAAGAGAATAATGGACAAACTTGAAGAAAAAAATGTGTTTTTGAAGTTAACACCTTAGTGATTGAGGCTTTTCTGGGACTAAGGACTTGTTGGCACTTTTGCTTTGTGTTCATTCCGCTATAGTATAATGCTTTATCTTAAATTGTAACCATACATACTAGATAGCATTTTCTAAAGGACACACATGGCTTTCTGAGGACACTTGATATGTATATATAAAAAAAACATTAACAGAACACTATGGGGCCAGGAAGCAGGAAAACAAACATATCCCCTCCCACCCCCATCCACCATCCCGCAAATAATACGAAAACTTACCTTATTTCCAGCATCACAATGGCACCGCTGGCGCTGGCCCCACCCCCTTGGCTGACATAATCAGAATTGATGATCTCAGCCAATCACAATGCTTTCCCATAGGAATTGATGACCGGGCAGGGGCAGGGCCAAACGCAACCCTAGCCAATTGGCCTCTACTCATAGAGATGCATTGAATCAATGTATACCTATGGGGAGTGTTCAGCGTCGCTGAACGGCAGATCCAGGAAGCACCTGCAGGGACTGACTATACTTACCAGAGCAATTGCATTAAGCCGTAGTTGTTCTGGGGACTATAGTGTTTAAAATAATTAGGGGGGAAAACAAAAACAAAAAACTTGTACACAGCTAGTGCAAGCTGAAAAATACCTCAAAATAGGTTGACTTTTTAGTTCGATTGTTAAAATTGATCAAGGACTGGATTACAGTCCAACACTAAAATTTAGCAAATTTGGGTTTGCAGAGATTAATAAAGTTTTAATACTATATAATTAATACTCCAAACACCACAACGACTACAGATGGAGAGTCGGAAATTTCTAAGTGCAAACTCCTGTTAACGCTCGTGAGTTAAACATTTCCATTCTTGGTAGATTGGCTGAGAGAGAGATCAGCTGATGCCTATTTCAAGTGGGTCATATTGTACGAAGAAACATTAAATCCTTTTGAAGCAGGTAGTCACTGTAATGGGATTGCAAGACTCCTTCCAATACTTGGACACCAGGCTTGCCAAGGTGTCATGGACAGAAATCACAAATATACAAAGAAAGAGTCCTAAATTTAATATATGAAGGTATTCAAGAGGCTGAAAATTATCTGTACATAAAGGTAGTTAATGCATTATCTATGCAATGCATTAAAAATAAGAACGGATAAAACTTGATCTGTCATCGAGCACATTACACAGCCGTAGACTGCTTAGTGTGTTGTCATTTTCCTTGATCCTGTCCCTCCAATGAGTGAGGTGATTTGTTTAAACATTAAAGGTTTACTCATTTAACTCCAAACTGAAAACAGAATTGCAAATTTAAGGCCAATATAGCAAAGCATTGCCTAAAGCAGAGTGGGAGAGTTTTTTTTCATATCAGTCTCTTTTCTCTATATTTTGCCATTTCCAATGCACTACTTTTTAGTGTTTAGCGAATGAAGCCCTAAGTAATGATACTGTCATATTCTTTGCACAGAGGGTCATTCATTGGCTGAAACTTGCTGGGTCTGCATCCAGCTTGTGCAGCTCTGCAACAGACAGATATGCATCACCTGGCATTAGAGGAGGTTTAGCGGCTGACCAGGTAAGAGGTAAACCATTTCAAAAAGGCTGGAAACTCCTAGCATCATAACCACTACCGTCGGCGGTGGAGGTAATAATGCTTGGAATAACCCTTTAAGTGGAAGGGAAACTCTTCCATAAGGAAGCATCAGCCAACTGTGCAGCAACTGCAGCACATTCATTGGAGCAGGAAGTGTGGACTAGCTCTGGATAAATTGGAAAGTTTATTTTTTTTATTCAGTTGGATGGAATAAAAAGGTGTAGATTTCTGCATGGAATTGCATTTTTTACACCTCACAAAGAAATTTTTTGTTAAACATAATATTTAAAAAAAATATCCAGGGGAAGGACAGTTACCCTTCCAAGATTATTCATCTTTACTACTATTTTTACACATTACAATTTTTTTTACTATGCATTTTTTTTTTATATATAAATAGATGCAGACGCTAATTATGAAAAGTTACATTACATTTCTGTGGGGAAAAACTGTTGCAAACTATGTTCACTGTTTTCTCAGGACACAATCCATCCATTAGTTTATTGAGTCACAGACACATTAAATGTAAGTAAGTAATGCCAGTGTTTCAGATGTAGACTGATGACTCAATCCTTCATAAAACACCTAATATTACTGTGACAGAGCTGAATTGAACTCTGGTGGAGAAAACTGACTGACGTCTATTTTTTTGGTTCCTGATCTATATAAAATTGTAAGAACTTTATATATTATATTCTGGTTGTTGCTTTGGTCAGCCGATATAATGGAGTCCACCCAGAGTGTGTATATCCTAATAATCAGATCACAGGGTACAGGTAAGTTGTCTACACTAAGTCATCATAGCTCTGATGTCATCTAATATGGACTATATTATGTTTCTATTACACTACTACTAAATACAGGTAAAGGAAGGACACATTGGTGGAGGGGTGTCTTCCACTGAAAAAACACTGGTCAGTACACCGTGGAATCAATGTGTATAGACCAGTGTTGGTATGAACATTGCTGCAATCATCTGATCAACAACCAAATATGACAGCTGGTGTGTTCAGCCAATGAATGTCTTTAAGACATGGATGAAATTGGTACTTCCAATATGTAAGCAAAATTTCTTCATTAGCAGTACTTGAATAGCTTGGCTACGGGTGCCTCGAGGACCACTACTTTTGGTTCATCCACATGAAATAGTTTGACCAAGAACCACGTGATGTCACCCTAAGCCCCTTTAAATGCAGATTAATATTACAGTTGCCAAATATTATTGGTTATATATGTCCATTAATTCATTCAGAAATCTAACAGATGAAGAATGAGAATACACTAAGTGGAAGACTGATGAATGTTTAATAAGCAACAATCATAAGGAATGCAGAGAAGGCACAGTGTAGGATTCTGAAGGGGTAAAGCAATTCCCAATAATTACAATATGTACAATATGAGCTCATGCAGTATAATATGATTTAGATGAGAAATTTAGAAGTAGTGATTATGGTGCTAGGTAGGAATACCACGGCCCATTTTCCCAGTAATGCAGCAAACCATTTTTGCTAATTTTATTCGCTTACTTGGTTATCCAGGGGACATCACAGATCCCCTATAGCTGCTGTACATCAGAGCTGCAGAAGCCTGATGTCGATGCCATCAGCCATTCGTTGGTTGAGAGCATCAGCTGACTGTTCTCAGCCAATGAATGCAACTCCATGCATACAACTATGCACATAACACAGCACTGACATTAAACAGCCTGGCTAATGACAACCCAATAACGCTGCTGGAGGAGGAGTAACGTCCAAAGAGGTTAAATTCCATATGTGCAGTGTTTAGCATCAAAATGCTGCACATATAGACTCCACGCACCATGACTACTTCAAAACCCTTAAAGTATAGAATTCAAAAATCTCAGATCCTCTAACTAATTCTGATGATGTAAAAGTTTGACAAATATTTTTAGTCTGTTGTGGAGCAATTCATTAACAATGCCTATGTATAAATCTGCCACCTAGTCCCAAACAAGTCAAGGCAATGGAATAGTCAGGATTCTGGAAGTGTACCAGCCCTACATAATTGAAGTATGCGACAAATGTGATCTATATCCCAGTGACCAGTTGGCACAAACTGGAACGATGTCACTTTCAGCATGCGGCTACTAAAACTGCAGTCTTATTGCAGAAGCATTTAGAGAGAATGTTATGCACAAGAACAGGAGGGCTCTACCGCACTGTATACTGGCTGTAATTACAGCTTGTAAGTCAATGTTACATACAGTAGTGATGGTTTTTCACAGACACTTTATTTACGGTCTGTGATATAGTAACATTCTGCTGGCTTTTGCATTCCCAAGCAAAACAAGGTATTTGTTCTAAATATTCATTAAACAAATCAAATTTATATTTTACAGTTGTTGTTACCTGTCCTTCCAAGCAAACTATTCTGAATCACTGAAAAGGACATTGAAAAAAAAAATGGATATAAACCATTAGAAATATAAAAGACAAATTGTAACAAATATGTTCAGAACAATTAGATTAGAAAATCAAATAGCAAGGTGGACAAGAGTCAAGGAGTTGAGTATTTTATTTTAAAAATAATACTACACATGTTCCTACAGAACCAGGATGGTTCCTAAATAGAACCAGGTAGTGTCCTAAACACTGGCATTATATGTCAATATCTATGGCAGGGCATTGTACATGAATAGTTTATCAAACACATACTCTTCGAGGGTTTTGTCCACATCTAGGACTCCAAGATGGAAATCATATGTGCTCATCTTTATCCACAAACCGGATTTAGAGCACTTGAGGTCTATTCAATAAACAGCAAATAGTAGTAAACTAAATTTCAGATTTGGTGCAGAATAGTCTAATTTTAAATGAACGTTCCATGCCCCTCATTACCACTATAGCTTGCTGTAGTGGTTATGGTTCCAGCAGTGCACTGACTCTCTCCTAGAGTAAGTAGTCAAACCAGTTAAGAATGGTTTAATGACCGACCTAGGTCCCATTGTGCACCCATTGCCACCTCCCATGTTACAAGAAACTCTTGCAAGGACCTTCTGTTCAATCCACCTGTGCAGGAGCAACTCACTTGTTGAGAGTGTCAGCTTACCACTCTCATGCAATGAGTGTGGTCTTACACGGCTGGGCCTACTTCAATGGAAGTAGCTTCCAGAAGCAGGGGAGGGGAAACGTGGGGCAGGATGTTGTAATAGTTATCACAGATGTTTTACTCTGAATTGTTTATCTGGTTTTCAATTTGCCAAAATTTATGGTTAGTACTTATAAAATGTGTTTATTCCCTCTAACTAAATAACCTATAGCCAACATTACCGCCGAACAAATGCCATTCTTTAAAGGAACACTTCACGTGAAATGTTGAGGTTATGGTGCCAGGAGAGTCAATGCGGCTCCCCGACTGTCTGGTGTCTTACCTAAGGTCCATTGGGCACCTCTTCCAGCATCGATCCAGGCAGAAGTGATGGGAGGAAGCTCCTGCTAGAAGCCTCCTGAGTGCGCTGAGCTAATAAATAGAGCTTCTATCGGTTAGGATGCAGGGAGCAGCACGCAGTGGACTCCAAGTAAGAACGCAAAGTGTTAGAAAACTGTCTGACTATTTAAACTGTGAAGGGGTGGTTCTTCCTGGGCTACATTGTAGTGTTATACAATAGTTATGGTGCTTGGAGTATTTCTTTACGACTCTTATGGCTGGACTAGAAGTTGACCCCTTTTCCAATAAGTAAAACCTGAAGATGAAGAACGTAAACCAAGAAATAGGAATTGATCAACCATAACGTGGAGAGGTCAGGACAAACTTGCCTGTTATTGTATAGGAAGCATTACATTAATCCACATACAGAATTTATATTAAGACAACTAAAATAATTGGACTGTATGCACGCAGACCTTTAACAGAAGTAAGCTTGATGTTCACTTACTGAAAGAAGGAGTATACTCCCTCTCTGTGAAATTTTCGAGAAAAGGAACCTTGCAAGCTTACCGCTACAGACAGTGGTGCTGATGTTGTATAGGAATGGGTAAAGTTGCAAGCAGCGGATCATCTGTAAACTGTCCTCGCACTCTGGGCATCCTTTTTGGAGGTCCAACGCTGCACGGAAGACTTTAAGGGCACCGGTCATGTTCCTGAGTGATAAGTATGTGTTCCCCAGGCTCAACAATGTAAGTGGCTGAAATAAATAAATGCAATTTATTGAACTGGAATGCAAAAACGACATGACACAAAAGATGTAAGATAAACTTGCATCTGTGTGGCTGCATGCCTTGCATTCTGGGAGTGGGCCATGATTATTGATGGATTATAAACATGGAGGGAAAACACTCCTGGATAGCTGGAGCGGCATTTTAAACACCTCTGTTAAATCAGTCACATAAAACCGGTAGTCACATTCCTGCAAGGTTATATTAAAAAAAATACTCACCTCAGACTGGTCTACAGCTAAAGCTTGAAGCAGTATTTTACTAGCCTCCACGTGCAGGCCACGGTGAATCAGTATATTGGCTACATTGACCAAGGGAACGTGTTGATTTTGGGGAGGCGAGAGGTTCATTGCTCTGCGTAGACAGGCAACTGCTTGGGTAAAGTTTCCCACGGCACGCCAATAGAGAGCAGCTTCGTTTAACACAGACCAAATGGGTCCCACTGGCTGGAAGGAGAACACAGTTTGAACATTAAACAAGACCCAGGTCATGAACTATATACTAATTAATGTGAACAGATCCCCAAACTCAGGTCCACTTTTACACAATCTGAATCATTACAGTAACCAAAGAGAAAATAAAACACACAGACTACATGATCACTGCTAGACTTACAACTAGCAAGTCCTTTAATTTTATTTTCAACTTGCCAAAATTCACTGTTAGTGCTTATAAGGGTGTTTATTTCCTCTATTTAAATGACCTATATTAACAAAAATAATATTTCAAGTGTTACTTCGCTAAATATAGGCTAGACAAATGTTTCTGGAAAGTAAGTTCCAGTTAGACAAAATGTCTAGTAAGGAATAAGGTACACTTTCATGCACACACCTACATAGACATAAATATATGAATTAACCTTACTCAACCATACACTGGCATTCACATACCAAACTAGCAAAACTTTTTCTTACACAATAAATTGATCTCAACACGAACACATAACTCAGAGCTCACAGGCGCTTACATAACTACCACAAACATATTTAGCTGCCAATATCACACATGCATATCAGCATCACTGCTTTCAATGTCATTAGTTCTTACATTATGTTGTCTATATGTCATTCTTATATCCTTTATTTCCACTCTCTTTGTCTGTATATACACAAACACGTATAACTAGCCAATCACCGACATACATAGGCTCACACAGTTTCATAAACACACAAATAACATTTTAATCCTCTTGCCACCTGCTGTTTGCCGATGACGGAGAGGAAGTGGCAAGTATACAGCAGTCCCTGGTGTCTAATGAAGGACTGGCTAACTCTGCCTTCTCCAAGGGCATAAGGGTTCTGCTTGCTTTCTTGCACAGCATCCTAATGTGCAGCGGCAGTCCCAGCTTCACGTCACTTTCTTCCAACGCAGTCAATCAGGAAGCTGCGCAGGGGAACAAGTGGAGCCCTGAGGCTGTGACCAGTGGTAAATCAAGCCATGGGGTAATTTATGGAGAAACGTTTGAGCACCTAACCAACTAGAGCTAGGTCCCACTTATGTTTTGCCATGGTGACCTGGATTTATTGAGAACTCTGCACTAAACATGGATTCGAGGAAATATGGAAAAGTTTGCTTTTTAATGAATTAAGCCCCTACAATTAAGTAATGAAAAGGAATATAAATACCGACCTGTGCCAGGGAGTGATAAAGAGCATCCCCCACTTCATCTTCTGACATACTGAGATTATTCACTCTTGAGAACAAAATCTACAAACACAGAACACACATATTTAACATTAAAACAGAGTTTACATTTAAAAATTTTCTATAAATACTCAACTGAACTCATCTCATTGTCAGTTTAAAAGGAACTGTATATTATATAATAAAAACGTCCCATCACAATTCCTCTACTGAAACAAAAAAACAAAACCTATGGCTGCAGAGATGCACGTCCATTTCTTTAAAGGGACACTATAGTCACCTGAACAACTTCAGTTTAATGAGGTTGTTCAGGTGAGAACTATAGCTCCCTGCAGCCTTTCTCATGTAAACACTGTATTTTCTGAGAAAAACAGTGTTTACATTGAAAGCTAGGAACACCTCCAGTTGCAGTTACTCAGAATGCCACCAGAGGAAATTCCGAGTTGATGGAGGCATAAAACTCCTCAATCCACTCAGATCTGCTGTCAGCAGAGCACAGGGCAGCACTGTGTCTCCTCCCTCTGCATGCAGACACTGAACTTTCCTCACAGAAATTCATTGATTCAATTAATCTATATGAGGAGATGCTGATTGGCCAGGGCTGTGTTTGAATCATGCTGGCTCTGCCCCTGAGCTGCCTCTTTGTCAGTCTCAGCCAATCCTATGGGGAAGTATTGTGATTGGATCAGGCTACCACTTCTGATTATGTCAGCAGACTGTTTTGTTTTTTAGGCAAACAGCATGCAGAGTTACAGCTTCTGGCTTGAATACAGTAAGATTTTTACTATATTTATGGAGGCATGAGGGGCCCAGGTGGGCTAGATGGTGGTTTTAATACTATAGGGTTAGGAATACATGTTTGTATTCCTGACCCTATAGTGTTCCTTTAATTTCGATATGATAAAAGCACTGAGTAATGCATAATCTCTGATTTGTGTCTGCCCTTCTGCGTCATACAGATATCTAAGAACTTGCACAAAAATACAGTGTGCGTTGCAATCTTGCTGTATGAAAACATATTTGGGTCAGACACACTTTCACACAGGCGTTATTAGAAATATCAGGTTGTCTCAAAAAAAAAAAAAATTAAATCTACTGTACATATATAAGCCATTTGGCTAACACTATGTATGGATGATAGAATAAGTAATGTCAATGCAACTCTGTAGTAATGTCTGTTATAACTCTGTAATATGTATCACACACAAAAGAAAATCGGAACTTTTCTATACAGTTCCATATATCACAGACTCCAGACACAAAGCACTTCAAGAAGTTTCAGGAGTGTTCCTGTGAGAAATGCCATTTAAATAATGGAAACAAAATAAATGGAAAAAAAAACAAATAGCGTTTTGATTCGTACACCATAAAAAGAGGCCTCCATAGTCAGAAACCGGAATGCGTGGATTGTACCTGCTTCGAGTGTCTATCCGGCTTCAGCTGTTGAAGCTCTAGTCGGGTCTCCAGTTCTACCAGAAGCTTGTGCATGGTCTCGGTTTTTCGCACGTCTGTGACAGTCAAACAATCTGGCTTCTGCATGTCACTGCCAGTGTCTATCTGCTTCGATAGGACAGGACTGAGACTATGAAGGGAAAGGAAAGACGACAAAAAAATTGTCATAAAATGTTCAACACAATGATAGCTTTGGAGAATGTCAAGAATTTTATAGACAGATCTGTTTTAAATCATTAGTAATTATTGGATTTATTTACTAAAATAAAGTAAAATATTCTGTTCCTATGAGAGAGAGTTCCATTTTTCCAATAAAGGTATAAAGTTACAGTAATGCTACAGATGGTCATTAAAGGAACACAAACATCAATTTCTGCCCCTATATCTTGTTAAATTACTATCTAGCCCCCCCAGTCATTAAATAAAGTAAAATCTTACATTTATTCCGGTCTACTGCTGCTGGCTCTGCCCCGATCTGCCTCCTTGTCTGACATCATCAGAAGTGATGGTCTGAGCCGATCAGACAACAGCTCAAATTGTTACGGAAGCAGATCGGGGACAGAGCCAGCACAAGCCAAACACAACCCTGGCCAATCAGCATTGAATCAATTCAGCTCTATGAGGAAAGTTCAGAGTCTCCATGCAGAGGGTGGAGAAACTGAATGTCAGTCTGTGAAGCACTGACCCAGGAAGCTTCTCTAGTAGCCATCTGAGGAATGGCCACTGGAGGTGTCCCTAGGCTGTAATGTAAATACTGGCTTTTCTCTGAAAAGACAGTATTTACCATAAAAAGCCTGCAGACACTGACAATACTCAGTATACTAAGCTGTAGTTGTTCTGGGAACTATAGTGTCCCTTTAATATGGTTGACTGAAACATTTGACACAGAACCTATAAGGATGTAATATAACAGAGCTCACAAGTTGTGTGGACGTTTACACTGCAAAAGGAATTTGAAAGGATCTGATTTTGTGCATAGAGGGTTGCAGAGAGAAGAGAAAAACTTTGTGAACCTTTCACCATGAGTTGTATCGCTGCATCTTGATATAAAATGTTATCTTTAACTAAGTCTTGACAAAATGTGGAATGCAACTGTCCAATGGAAGTTCCATTCGGAGTCAATGCTGGAGTCTGCAGAACAGAAGAATGGCAGCAATCCGGTGGTTAACGCTACCCCAGTAATACCGCTGTATTACTGGAACATAAAGGGTACCACTGCAGAATGAGGGGTGGGACAGACATGGTTCAGATTGTTAAGCAAAGCTGTGGTAAAAAAAAAAAAAAAGACCTACCATTTTTTTTTTTATATATATATATATATATATATATGTTATTGTAACGTGCAATACACATTTCACCTAACGGTGTTATGTGTATTGCACGTTACAATAACATATATATATATATATATATATATATTAAAAAAAAAAAATGGTAGGTCTTTTTTTTTTTTTTTACCACAGCTTTGCTTAACAATCTGAACCATGTCTGTCCCACCCCTCATTCTGCAGTGGTACCCTTTATGTTCCAGTAATACAGCGGTACACACTGTCATCATATACAGCAGTATTATCCTGATAATTGTCATTAAACAGTGGGAACCAGAGCGCTGGCCAATCACTGGTTTGGTGTAAACACCTTACTGAAGCTACAAAACCAGAGGATTGAGGTTTAAATATAGCAATGTTAAATGTGAATGTCTCATTGTTTGTTTGTTTTTTTACTTTTTCTTATAATTTTAATGCATTAAAAAGGGTGGGTCAAACTCCGGCATGGAGGGACCTTATTTTTTTTATTTAATATATTTTCATTAGTATTAGATGACATAACAGATAACATCAATGTAATTCCATATACATCGTTCCATTATGTAGTATATAACTAAATATAAACATTTAAAATCACAGACTAATCCCATCTTCCCTATCCCTCCCCTTTATTCCCGTTCCACCTTGTTATCTCCTTTCCTATAAGTCTTGAGTCTATTGACCATTTCATTTTTTTTCTTTTTTATCTATTATATTATTTTTGTTGTTGAACTATTTTTATGGTCTATTATTTAGGCCTTCGACACCCCTTTTTTCTTTTTTTCTTCCTCTTTCACTTCTTTCTTTTTCACTCTCTCTCCTCCATTTCCTACCCATTTTTTCTTTTTTTTCTCTATTCGATTATGATTATTTTAAAAGCTCCCTGATGTGTTATTCTGCAGAAGCCGTTTGTAAGCTCTCTTCATATCTATGCCATGCTGCCCATCTATCATTATGTTCAACACTCCTCCCTTTATTCAAAAATATTATCTTTTCTGAGGTACAGATATCATCAACTATAGAAACATAGAATGTGACGGCAGAGAAGAACCATTTGGCCCATCTAGTCTGCCCAATTTTCTAAATACTTTCATTAGTCCCTGGCCTTATCTTATACATATCCATTCTTTCAGTGGAGGAGTTTGTATTTGCCTCCAAGGAGTGACCCTTCTATAATATAACCAGCACACAAGCTCTCACCTCAGGGTTCCCTGTCCAAGAGGTAGGTGATAGGTTGGAAGATCTTCTGGAGATGGGACTGTTGGGAATGTCTTGGCACAATCGGTTTTCTCAGGCCACAGCTGATTTGGTTCTTGCTATTAAGATACATAACATTATATAATATCACAGGTATCTACTGCAGAGATCAGGGGAATAATCACAATAATTAATTTATAGCCAGTGTTTACACACCTCATTTTTAGATTCTTTAAAGGGAAACTCTAAACACCATAAAAACTAAAGCATGCCACTACAACCACTAACAGGGAGTACCCAGGCATGGCATGACTTTAAACTATCAAACCATTTAATAATGGTTTGACATTTACTGATCTCTGTTGGGCAACCATGGCCCTTATGTGGTAAGGTAGTATGGTAACGTGGAAGTTTTACGGACATTCTCAGGCATCACATAATATTCCAATATATATATATATTTGATTAAGCAAATGAATTATTTTTTAAAATCTAAAGTAATTTCAAAAGTTTATGTATTAAGCTTATCCAAAATTTTTAAAATCGAGGCCTTATTGATATAATGCTAAACATGAACCTTTGGTTCACCATACCATTTCGAAACAGACACAGCACAGATACCCCATAGAGAGAAGTGTCAAACTGCTCTGAAATGGTTTGTTAACAGTCACATGGTGCCTGCAGTGGTTATGTTACCAGGAATCGCCAAAGTACTGCGGTAGATGCTTAGTGCATTTCTTTAATTGCCTGGTTGTCCACAAGTTCATTGTCCACAAATAATGCCATCCTATGGTTGAATCGGATAAGTTATGCAGGCCTAGGGTTGTAGTTTGCCTGGGCCTATCTTACATGCTATTGATAAACTTTATAAGTAGAAGTTTACTTACAATAAGCATGCTCGGGTCCTTGTCCCACACCTTGATTGGGGAACGTGGCACAGGTGGGCGTCGCTGGAGGATGCTTTGATTTGTCTGAAGTTCCAGGTTTTCAGACATCATGTAGGCAGATGAGGTGTCTTCTCCAAACTTAAAGTAAGACAGGGAAACTTAGAGCAAACTCTCAAGGCAAGAATCTCAAATTTGCTTCAAAAGTCAAAAAATTACTACTTTTATAAAAAAAAAAAAAATAATTAAAAAAAAAAATGTTAATTTATTTAAAGGGACAGTATAGTCACCAAATCAACTTTAGCGTAATGAAGCCATATTTGTGTATATATTATGCCCCTGAAGTCTCACTGCTCAATACGCTGACATTTAGAAGTTAAATCACTTGTTTCTGTTGATGCAGCCTTAGCCACACCTCTCCTGGCTGTGACGCAGCCTGCATGAAAAAAGTGGTTTCATTTTCAATCAGATGTAACTTACTTTAAAAAAATGTTTTATCTCCTGTTCTGTAAATCGAAATTTAGTTACTTATATGAGGCTCCAGCAAAGTCTAGCAAGCTATTAAGAGAGCAGGAGATAATACATGCTAAATTAAACAGAATTTACAATAAATTAAGTATAAACATTAGATGACTCTTTACAGGAAGTGTTTATGAAGGTTGTGCAAGTTAAATTCAGGGAGGTGTGACTAGGGTTCATAAACAAAGTGATTTAACTCCTAAATGGCAGAGGATTGAGCAGTGAGACTGCAGGGGCATCATCTATACACCAAAACTGCTTCAATAAGCTAAAGTAGTTTTGGTGATTATAGTGTCCCTTTAAAGATAACTAAAAATGTACATTACAGCATATTTTATTTCAAATATTTTTTATTAATGCTTTAAAATAATATATATATGACCGCTGCTTTGGAACAGGCACCCACTTATGATCTGCTCAGAACATATTTGAAAACTGTGCCTTTCAAGAAATATAGGTTTTAATGAAAAATAAATAAAATAAATTTAATTAAGACATTATGCATCCTAAAAGGTGAGCAAGTTGTTTTCCAATTGTTTACAACTTGTTATACTTAAAGGGTTACTCCAAGCACCTTGACCACTTCAGTGCTGTGAAGTGGTTATGGTGGCTGGAATCTGTAAGTGCGGTGTTTCTCTATGGAACACTGGACATACAGAATTTGATCCGTTTGCGGTCAGAGGTGTAACTCCACCATATGCTGTATCATTAGCGAACCCGGAACACAAGTTCTGGGTGGCTCATGTGGATCTGTGCAAATCAGGCCTGCTGGTGGCAGACGGCCAGTGGCAGCATGCCCTGTGCATATGGCACAATAAACAATGTCAGACATTTTTACAGTGTATCCTAAGTGGTACTTTAGTCATTAAAACAACTTTAGCTTAATGAAACAGTTTGTGTGTGCTGAAAATAACGCTGCAGTCTTACGGCTTAATTCTCTGCCACTTAAGAGTTAAATCACAGTCACTGTGAACAGTAAGTGCAGTGGAGGCAAGTAATATTTTTCTTATGCTTCAATACCATTTACTGGGGTGAAGGAATGAGAATCTGTCACATCCATATAAGTGACATTTCCACTTTAAAATGAGGTTCCACGAGATGTCAATTTACGCATACTGTTAAACTACATTAACTATGTTTTTGGTTATTATTCCTTCTCTTATGTTACTTCTAATTGTAATACCTATAAATCCACTGACAGATGGGGATTAAGTACAAATGTTATTCATGATACGAAATAAGATCCACATGCAATATTTGATCATAATGCACGTTTTTATTCTCAAACCATGCATAGGCTTTTGCATAAGCCGTACAACTGTGATATGTGATTTCCTCTGTCAATACAAAATGAAGAATTATAAATAAAATAAAAAAAATGAGGTTCCATCATTGCTTTAATTTCCTGGATTAAAACACACAAATATAAAACGCAATGGAAACATTACCAAAACTTGCTCCACATTCTCAAAGATGTCACCCCTGTGGTAGCGCACAGGGAGGTCCCAGGGACAGTGCAAGCTGTGCTTCTGGTTACTGATGCGACAGATCTGATGGTTTCCTGACAATGTAAGAAGAGGTCATGTTGGAAAAAAATATCCTGCAAGGTTTTGGCACTCGCCAATAAATTACAAAACAAATGCAAGAGATGAGATTCTAAAATTTCAGCCATTCTTGACTAATCCTGATAGAAAACAAATAAGATATTGGTCTGTACAAGGGCACATGTCTTGTTAATGTTGTAAAAAAGCTGTTAGCAGCATGTAGTATTGATACACAATTCATTTGTCCAGCCTACGTGCCTTCGGAGGAAATTATAGTATGGTAAATTGACCCATGCTGATCAGGAGTTCACATTTTCTGAGAATTTTATTCCATAAAGTCTGTAGATTTCTATCTGGAATTCAAACATATTCAGAATACCCAATATGAAAAAAAATGCTTGATTTTAATGGAACACAAAACTATACCTGGCATGTGGCAGAGGAGAACAATAAAAACATAACAGATCCCAACATTATTCAAAATGCATAATTTATCTTTAGGACACATTTATTGCTACAGACATTACCTGGCATGTAGGGCATAGAGGAGAAACAATTAAAAAATCCTCTAGTGGCTGTCTCATTGACAGCCACTAGAGGCACTTGCGTGATTCTCACTGTGAAAATCACAGTGAGAACACGCAAACGTCCATAGGAAAGCATTGTAAATGCTTTCCTATGCGACGGGCTGAATGCGCGCGCAGCTCTTGCCACGCGTGCACATTCAGCCCAGGAGGAGGATCGGAGGTAGAGAGCTCCCCGCCCAGCGCTGGAAAAAGGTAAGTTTTAACCCCCTTTCCCTTTCCAGAGCCGGGCGGGGGCACCCTCAGGGTACTATAGTGCCAGGAAAACAAGTATGTTTTCCTGGCACTATAGTGGTCCTTTAACTGTTAGAATGAATCTGTCTGGCATGTTCACTGGAAAAGGAAGCAAATAACTAGTTACTATTTAAATGCCAAGATACAAAGCAGAGATAATTTTCAATTAAATTCAACCTCAATGGTTTCTCTATCACTAATATATTTCCAGCGCAAGTACGGGCTTATAATCATAAAGACCCCCTAGTGGCCACATAACACATTGCGTAAAATATTTTGATATTTATATTTTACAGCATTGTTATTCTTCAGGGGACAAACAGCCCCGAATACCTCTATATTAAATATTGGTTCTTTGTTTTTGTGTTTACACTAATGGCCCAGCAGTACAAGCTACCATTCTAAAGTAAAAACCATTTGTCTATACATTTGCTAGCAATCTGTCACAGAGTTAAGATAAACTATTCTAAGCTCAATATTGTGGGAATACCGAGAGGCACATACACATCAATGCCATACTTGTTTATACTTCAAAACAGGCATTATGTGTGTTAGAGCATTATGGGGGATGTAGTCCACAACATCTGGAGTGCTGAAGGTTGCCTATCCCTATTCTTTAACAATAGCATGGTACAATAATTAAGCAAAAAGCCTATAGTAAAATTGCATTTGATCTATATATTTTCACAGTTGCCTTGTCTTTTCCTTTAAAGTCATATCTCATTGTCCTGCCCTTGTTCAATGGAGATATTTATCGATATGCAGGTTTATACAGTGAAGATGCAGTTACTGAAGACAAATACTTTGAGAATAAAAAAAATTACCCAGCTGGGCCTCTTTGGCCATTTGAGTCTCGTGAATGATGTTGCGCAGAATCTGTTCTTCCTGGATCAGCTTGTGTTTCTCCAGGATCTCCTGCTGCCGCAGGTAATGGTCATGTTGCTTCTGGTATTCTTTCAGTTCATTTAGAGTCCTCTGGAGTGATCTTAAAAGATGTACACAAGAGACAAATACCCCAATTAGCATTGTCTCTGGTCTGTCCTGGATGAAAAAAGACTTTTGGTAGAGATCAGAGAGGATGCTTGGGGAGAAGTAGGAACATGCAGGACTTCTTGGGCAATGTCTAAGGATCACACTGGAAATTAATGTTAGACTATCTACAAATAAACACAGTAGAAAAATTATGTCTATATAAGGATAAGTTCTTAAGCTTCTAATGCAGAAAGTTGTCTAAGTGACAAAGTCATGAGCTAAAGGGTTCTGAAAACTTATGTGATACAGAGATTTGCTATGAAGAAAGGGCACAAGGATTATTATTTTTTTTTTTAAGTTGTGGTGTAAATGATATTAGAACAGCCCCCACATGTTTATTAGAAAGCAATTAGGTATTACAAAATATAAAACATAACAGATAAAAGCACCTCTGTCAATGGGAGGAATTTATTAATGGACATTTTATTTTTGGTCACCAATATGCTCATATTATTAAAAGGACACTGCAGGCACGCAGACCACTTCAGCTAGCTGAAGTGGTCTGGGTGCACTGTCCATTTTGCACTTAATGCTACAATGTTACATTGCAGCTCCAAGTCTGCCCTCAGTGGCTGTTTACCAGACAGTCACTAGAGAGCTTCCTGAATTGAAATGGACCTTTGGTCCGGTATCTGATACTGGACGTCCTCACGCTTTGCATGAGGACCTCCATTTTCCCATATTCACATTTTCCCAATAGGAAAGCACTGATTTAATGCTTTTCTACAGGGAGGTCTAATGCAAATGCAGCATTTGCCACGCATGCGCGTTAGAGCCCGCTGGTCGCAGGCTATCAGAGGGGACGGAGCCAGGACCCACCGCGAAGGGTCATTGGCGCTGGGAAAAGGTAAGTAAATAAAGGGTTTTAAACCCTTTATTTACTGGGGAAGGGGAGGCGCGAGGAAGGGGTTGGAGGCAGGGGGAGTGATAGTGCCAGGAATACATCTTTGTATTTCTGGCACTACAGTATCCCTTTAAATTGTTCTATAAACTGTTGGACTTTCTTTGCCAGAATTCCACCATTTTTTTTACTATAATTTTAGGAAATAAAGCCAAATTTAGAGTAACAGATTAAAAAGTACGAGACAGAGCGCTTTTCTTGCTGAAATTTTGATGAATCAGTTGTGTCCCTTGAAGAAAAAAAAAAAAAAAGACTTATGTTCAAGAATTAAGGTTCCGATGATAAAAGTAGACAAAAAAAAAAAAAAAAAACTATAGATTTAATAAATTGCTCCAAAATCCCCTAAAAAGGCACAAAATGGTCTGTGACGCTATGATAAATCTTCCCCCAATTTGTGTTCCGCAGCTTAATCTCACTTCACCCAGTCCCTGTGCTCACCTGTGCTGCGCCTCTAGTTTTTGCTCCAGTCTCTGCTGGCACAGTACAGCATGCTTTCTTTTGATTGCCTGATCAAAGCCGTGTTTTGCTTGCAGAGCTCGATCGTAGCACAACACAGAGTGATTGTATTCTCCCAGCATCTAGGACAGACATGAATTAAGGCACACTCCAAACAACACCAATAAGGGCCATGGCATAACATACATACTGCATTGCAGACCCTGAAAGAGGGAATCCCCATCTCTAAAGCAAGGTAAATGCACTTCTAAATCACAACACAAGAACGGACTACCAAAGTGCTTCATATTTCATTATTCACCAATAGATTAACTTCATGGGAAGGCTTTTGAGGACATCTGTGATCTAACATTTTTAACAGCAATTGGGGTTTTTATTTTCATTACATATAGGGCTCTACATAAACATACATAAAGCTCAAAATGTCAAGTCCTATGCTAATAGCAAGGTCAGAAAAGTCATTGGCCACTGCACTCACCAGGGGCTAGTAGAAATTTTCCCCTGAAATATAAATATATATATATATATATATATATATATATATATATATATAAAATAAAAAAAAAAACACTAACATTGCTAATGTCTAAAAAGACAGAGCTCACTAATAGTTACAAGTGCTTATTCAGCAAAGAAAAAAAAAAATAAATCAGTTTTTAAATGTCAGTGGATGAGCAGCAATAGGTGCCTCATTACAGAATTAAAACATTAATCCAATGCCCACCAATAATGGCCGTGCTACTCACTGCATATATGTTTCCCAACGTGTAGTGACTGGTCAGAATGTCAGTGGACACGTCTAATGCGGCGTGGACCAGAATAGCAGCATCGGCTGAGAAATGGGCTCGGTGTAAAACATTTGCCATATTCACCAGAGCAATATCCTTGTTCTGTCTGCAAGGGATAAAAAAAAACAACAGTGTGACCAACGTGCAGTGAGAGGAAGGCACATAAATGTCTAGCGCACAGGTGTTGCCCAGACACTTCGTGTTCATTTAACTGGTTATGAATCTTTAAAGAAACGGTTAAGCCAATGAGATCTTTTCTTAATCAGTACAATGGAACATTCCTTTAAAGGGACACTCCACTGCCTCAATAAAAAAATAAAATAAAAAAAAGATATTGTGTAGTAGATATACCCACAATAAAAACATGCATGCACTTAGACATTTTTTTCATTGGGTATAAAATAAAAACAGCTTGCAAAATCATTGGACCTCTTGTCTGCAGCCTTTGCAAGTATTCCCCCTTTTCCCCATCCCAGACTTTCTGTGTCTGTAAATTCACAATATTTCCATTGCTGCCTCTTGAGTTTAGCTCCACTGAGCTAAAAAATCAGGAGGTAAAAGGACATGTCTGAATGAAAGACAGGGGAGGGGGTAATAAGGTTTGTTTATAAAAGTGATTTCTATTTAAATCTACACTGTTTGTAACATGAAATAAAAGGACACACTTGTGGCGAAACCAACCTCACCACTGTGAACTGGAGAAGCCTGGTTGCTCGCCTGCTCCCTTTGGACTATGGCCCTGCAGGTTAAACCGTTTATTTCCCCTGCAGAAAGGCTTATTTGTGTGATCTGAGTGCCATTCATCTAATAATGTGCACTCAGATCCCAGCTATCTGGGGATATGTGAAATGTCTGTGTGTTATGTGTAAATGTGACTTTATGTATTTTAAAGTGTTTTGTGTCTTTTTGCAACCATGTGCTTAATGGAGTCTTGTGTCTGTCCTGGGAGATAATTGAATTACTCTCCAGGATAGAAGACTCTGAAACTGGTTTGGGCCAGAAAGCCATGCTTCATTTAGTCACAAAGGACTTTCCCTTAACTTTTGAACCCCTGGTCTGATTCGTGCCATTTTTTAATATGTTGTTCCCCTGAATGGATTGATTATGAAAATGTATGTTTTATGTTTGTGACATGTATATTTTAGAAGTTATAAATATTGTGTAAAACTGTATTCCTCTGCCGGTGATAATGAGATTACCCATTGTGTTCAGTAATCATATCACTGCAGAGGGGAGGATTTTGTGTGGGAGTGTCTGGGTGTATTGTACGGATTGATTGGTTGTTTTGTAACGCCCTGTGGGCTGTACTATGTTTGTGGATTGGGAATAAAAGAGACTGTATGTGACAGTACAGGGAGATTCTGCTTGACCCTCAAACCGATGTGTCGTCTCGTTTTTGGGGGGAATTGGAGTGTAAGCGGATTGTATGCTTTTCCTGTACGGCTGATTCCAGTGTTCGTGTGTTTCCAGTTCGGGAGTTGGTGAATTCGTACAGTTTGCAGTTCGGGAGTTTGGTGCTTGCAGTAGCTGCTGGTCTACGGGAAAGAGGATTATCGCCTAAACGGTTTTTATCCTCTTGTGAGAGAAACGGTCCGTTACAACACTCTTCACAAATAAAGCATATTAGTATGCTAAAGTGCTTTAGGGGTACGGAATGTCCCTTTAAAGGAACACTATACGGTCAGGAATACAAACATGTATCCCTGACACTATAAGTCTAAATAGCAGTTTAGGTGATCACTGCCCTTGTGCCCTGTTAAAAAGGTGATTTATTCACCTTTTTTCAGTGCCGCCCCCGCTGGGATCATCAAAGTTGATAATCTAAACCAATCACATAGGAAAGCAATGGGAGGCTATTGCGCATAGACAGCAAAATGCTGCGCCAATCAACATATTCTCACTGTGCAGCACTGACCCAGGAAGCATCTCTAGTGGCCTTCTAAGTGACTGCCATTAGATGTGTTACTTGGCAGTAATGTAAAAACTGCAGTTTCTCTGAAAAGATGGTGTTTACATTAAAAAGCCTGCAGGGACAAGCTGTAGTTGTTCTGGTGACTATATTGTCCATTTAAGCATTAATTGTTGAAAATTCAAAGTGAATATCAAATTTTAGAGAAAAAACAGGCAAACTGCAAAAAGAGCAGACCTGACAATGTTTTATTCCCAATCTGCCCATTTTGGCATAAAATTTGAATTTCACTTTGAATTCATGAATTACGAGCACTGTGCCATCATCCTTCCAAGAAAAACTGCAAGAACGTCTGATTAGCTGTATGGGCACAGGAAAAGGTTTCCATAAAGCCTTATTTGTCTATGTATTCGCATAGGACCACACATGACATAATGGGATTAAAGTTATTTACTTTGACTGATAGCTTCATATATGATATATTGTATTTCTCGATAAATTAAATTTACATAGTACAGTCCATAGTCCAATATGTTTAACTACCTACTGGATTTTGATATAACTTCATAGATGACTGTTCATCTTTAGAGATTCACATCTACTAAATGGAAGATTTTCTTACCTGGAAGAGAAGTGCAGTGCTCTCATCGCACATTCCACCACATGATACGGCTCATTTTTTATCCTCCAGTAGAAAGATGCCATGTTATAGAGGACCCAGGAAGTGTTATTCTGCAACAACAGAGTAAAACTGAAATTATTCAAGCATGGCCCTGGTTTCATAATTTTTGATAATGGTTTTAAAAATTTTTTTTGCAAAAATATAAATATATTAAAAATAAACTCATACATAAAAAAAAATGTGTTTACATTTTGTAAACGTTTGATATTTTCTTTTATATATGATTTTATTTTTAATTAAAAAAAATTATTTGATTTTTAATAATTAATTTTACAAACATATTAAAAAATATTAAATCAAGGCCCACCTTGAATCAACCAACACAAAATTTATAAAAATAAATACTGTACTATGATAAGTCACTGTACAATTAGCATTTGCTTATAGAGATAAAAATGTACAAAATATAAAATTCTATAAATAAATACTAAAAAAAACAAGAGATTCTGTGATTCATAAAATGTTTTTAAATAGTGGCGAAGACCCTTGACGACATGAAAAGTTTACATAGAAGTTCCCTACTCCCACCTGAGGAGTGCCAACTCTGATAAAGAGAGCGATCACAAACAAAAATAAACAAATATTAGCCAGCTTTGTAAGTTGGGTAAACCTAACCTTCTATGGAGTTATATAGGGCTTAAACAGAACAATCTCTGTTGCTGTACACCGGAAACCTGTACATAAAACTAAAAAAACGGTTTTGTCCTACAATCTCTTGGCATAACAGGAGTTTAAAGAATGCTAGAAACTGATTTTTGGCTACAGAAGTTAAAATTTTCCTGAGTTTCCGAGACAAATTAAAAACATATCATGCAATTTACGGTACCTTGAGGAGGGCATCTAATATTCTATGACCGATCTCTTCAACAGTCCTTCCTAACTGCCGGGGCAGCGAATTGAAGATAGGATCCTCTTTTGGCAACAGAGGAGCTGAGAGGTTCAACCTCTCCTGGATGCCCTAGAGACAAACAAGCAAAATATTGCTCAATAGAAGAGATATTAGGAAAAAATGTCTGCTGATTTTGAGCAGCCTTTTAAAATGCAATTGGGTTGGAGATCTGGTAGGAATTTTTTAATATCAAGGTCAAAATTTCAAATGAAAGTCAAATGTTACCGAAACAACATTGGGAGCTTAGATATAGACTTTTGACAGGCATAGCTGACCACCAAAAGCGAAATTCTGACAGCGGAATGTCTGCATTTTAACAGCTTGGCTCCTACAATTTCCAGTTTAGTGTCTTTAGAGGAGTACTCTAATTTAGAGGTTTGTAAATCTACTGCCTGGATGGGATAAATGCTTCAAATAGCCATTTAGATGCCATTCTTTATATCTAATGCCCAGGTCCACGTGGTGAATGTATATGGCCACAAAAAAATAAATAAATAAATAAATAAATTAGAACTAGCGTATAAGAAAAGCATTGGTTACAAAAATACGTGTTGGAACACCTAATGGAAAAATTATATTAGGACCAGCAAAAACAAGAGCCCTAATCCTTGATGAGCGAAATGATCATCGGGACTATAGTTTTTGCTGATCCTAATAGAATTTTTGGGTTAGTCCATTATCAATTTGTAGAACACTAGTTTGACCAGCTATTTGTTTAAGCTATACTTGTCTCTCTCTCAATCAGATATTTTAGCATTTTGCAGTGTAGGGAAAGCATAATTAGTGCAGTTCAGTTGCATTTGCCATTTCTTCGCTCTGTATTATTCAATTCTCTTTCTTATTTCTCTGCTTAATTGTGATTTCTGCATTGCTACTCTTCTCTCTGTATTATTCAATTTAAAGGGTTACTGCAAGCACCATGACCACTTCAGTGATTTTGCTATATAGATGAAGTGATACAAGCAATTACAAAACGTGCGTATGGCAGCTATACCTCACACTTCACTGACAAAGGCAAAAGTATTCAGATCCCCCACTCTCACCCAGAGCCGGCAAAAAGGAAAGAGCAACTAAGGGACCTACAGACTGATACTGATTTTCCACTAGGCAATGTGCTAACCATACCTGTATCTTATGAAAGTGTGTTTTAGCTTCTTTACTTTAAACAAGTTTTTACAGAGAGCACCATGTCTCTGCTATTCTTATTTTAGATATAACCCACCGTGGGATCCTGACACTAAAATCATTATCTGGAATATACAAACATCTCAAAACATAAAGACCTGTCAAGCTGTATTAGTGCTTATGGTACATATTGGACTGTAGCCTAATAATATAATAATTAAGCTTATTTAGGAAGTCCCCAGAGTTTTCACCACAGTAGGGATAACTTCGCTAAAATGTTATCAGGCGGATACATTGTTCTAACACAGAGACAGTAATTAATTGACTCTCTCACAGAGTAGAGATCTTTGGACATTTTAATACTGTGGCTAACTACTGCCAATCCTTTTTTCTTACTATTCAGTAATTTTTATGATTTGTTAAAACACTATTGCACTTTGAACATACAGACATTTAGTGGACATTCCCCTTTTTTTCTTTCTAAACTGTCAGTATTCGATTACACCACCTATCCTTTTCCTGGTTGCTTCAATAGCAGAGTTCTTTGCTATTTTATCCATATTTCTTTAGCCTCGGGTGGGGACTTCATACATTTTACCAGTTGTAGTGGGAGATTTGGTTTATCTATTCATTTTTTTTAGATTTTGCTCATTGCATTTTATTTGTCGTCTTCTCCTCTGTATTGCAATTTATCTGCATATCCTATTTATTCTTTTTTTGCAATTCTTTATTTTTTCGTGCAAGGTTAGTTACAATACAGCACGTATGGCCACAACAGCCTTCCGGGTTTTGGGTATTTCGTGTCATCACAACACAGTTTAGGCATACTTCAGACTGTCAATTCCAACTTGTGATGTCAGTTAGTTCTACACATTTTTAATTTATGAGTCAACTGGTGTTAAGCTAAGGCAACATTGGAGTGAATTTGAGGTGTGTGTCATTCCCCTTCGAGTGACGGGATTGTATTAGTGTGGGGGTGAATAACCCGAGGGTCAGTCTAGAGATAGCGGTTTGCGAGTTTGGGGTTGATTTCGTGCGTGAATGGCTGTCCTTAGTGAATTTTATGTCTTCGATTGGGTACTGTGTCTGCGTGTGTCAGTTTCATTGTGGGTAGGTGGTTGTCGCTCATTGAGCCCATTGGTACCTCTGCGGTCATCCAGTGGGTTGGGATTTGACTCCTTACTGAGGGAGTTGCGGGGGGGGTGGGAGAAGGTGTACTCTCCCTGGAGCTTATGGTATTCTATGTGTCAGAGTGAGTCTCGCAGCTGTTATGGTGTAGCGTGAGTTAGCCGTGTAGGGTGCGTGTGTAACAGTATTATATGAAAAATAAACAGTAAAACAAAGGTATAATAAAAGAACGCAGTAATAGGTTAATGCATTGTATGCTTGCTGGCTACAATTTTACAGTTCAGGTCAGTTCTCCCCGGTTCTCTGTGTTCCCTTGGGATAAATGGGGTCGTCCTCTCAGGGTCCCAGGTGTGCGATGTCGTGGGAGTTTCTTGTTCTGCGGGTCTGGTGCGAATCCCCAGTGCGCGCAGGAACTGTTCTGCCTCCTGTAATGAGGAGAGATTGTATGTGGTACCGTTGTTGGATGGGGTCAGAGTCCTTGGGAGAGTCCATTTGTAATCAATTTTAGCTTCGCGCAGACTGCTCGTCACTTGTGCCAGGGACCTGCGCCATAACAGCGTGTTTCTTAAGTCAAGTCCTGATAGAAGGTAATGTGGGATGACTCGAAAGCAAGCGGTGCCTTTCCCCTAACAGCTGTGAGGAAATTGATTTTATCCGCCACTGAGTGACATCTTGTGGAGCTGTGGCTTGTCTTGCTTTTCTGATCCTAAAGAAGCCGTCTAATGTGAATTTTTTGGCTTGGGCGTGCGGTAGGAGCGTGGCTGTGAGGCGCCTGAGGTAGTGGGGTAGTTCTGTGGAGTCAACGCTATCCCTTATCTCCCTTAATTTTAAGTTAATGCGTCTGTTGGGGTCCTCTGCTACGTCCATTCTCATAGCGAGGTTGGTCTGGGATGTCTGCATTAGTATTACTTGCTCTTTTAGCCCCTTTACCTCGTTTCAGGTCTAGGATGTCTTCTTCTGTGGCTTGAGTGCGTGCAGTTACTGCCTGCATTTTGGTCTTTAGCAGGTCCATATCTGCTGCATGCATTTCTCTCATCTCTTTTAACAGGTTGGCTATGTCTTGTTTGGTGGCCGTTGTGAGGTTAGTCCTGTTAGTTTACGGCTCCTTCGTTGGGTGAGCGACTGATTGTGCCTGTTCAGCTCCGGATTGCTCTCCATCTTGGGATGCAGTTGTGCGGTCCGGTGAGGCCGCCATCGGCCTTTGCAGCAGGTCTCCTACGTCCTGCATGATCCTCCCAGTGTTCTGTGATTTTTGGCCCATGCTGTATTCGTCAGGTACGGCTGTACCAGTCTGCAGGTAGGCGTCCTGGTGTGTTCTCAGGGCTGTGAGTTCCTGCTCTAGCCTCGTGGCTTGGTAGGCGGTGTAGGCCCCGGTTTTTCGTCGGGTCTTTCTGCCCGTTTGCGGATAAAAAAAAAAAGAATCAGCCTGTAGCTCGCTTACTGGGATAGGCCCGGGGGCTAGTAACGTGCCTCTGCAGGTGTCTTAGGGCCTTGTTTTAATGCCCTTTTGCCGTCGTTTCTTCGGAGCTCAGAGGTGATGCGTCGGTTCATGTCTGGCGCTCGGATCCACCCCCATCCTATTTATTCTGGCTCCTCTCCCTACCCTGTTTCTCCCAGGAAGGTATTATATACTGTACCATCCAGGCTTTCACTAGCTTTACTTAGTGTTTACATTGGTGTCAAGTAATACCTCTAGTGGCAGTCACTCAGCCGGCAACTTACCGTGCTTCCTATTTCAGAACGTTCTTGATTCAACACAACTCTATGAGGAGATGCTGATTGGCGCAGTGTGGCTTTTAACCACGCATGTGTAATAGCCTTCCAATGCTTTCCTGTGGGAAAGCTTTGGATTGGCGCTGAGATCATCAAGACTGATGAGCTCTTACATGGAGGTGGGGCCAGCTGCGGCGAGACTTGTGTACAGATGTAGAAAAGATAAGTAAACTACCTTTTAACTCCACTCTGAGGGAGGCCAGACACCAAAATATTTAATCCACCACTATAATGTTATGAATACATGTTTGTTTTCCCCAACACTATAGCGTTCCTTTAAAGGGATTCACTGCAGGTCCCCTCTCCTTCCCATCCCCCATCCCAAGTTACTGAAGGGGTTAAAACCCCTTCAGCGACTTACCTGTATCCAGCGCCGATGTCCCTCAGCGCTGGTTCAGGGTGTGCCCACACTCCTCCCTCGGTGGGGGAGACCTATTGCAGATGCGCGGCCGGTGAAGGGGGAGACCTAAAGTGCATGCGCGGCAATGCCGTGCACGCACATTAAACCTCCCTATAAGAAAGCATTGAAAACGCTTTCAATGCTTTCCTATGGGGATTTCAGCGATGCTGGAGGTCCTCACATAGCATGAGGACGTCCAGCGATGCTATAGCACAGAAACATCTGTGCTATACACCCGGAAGTGACCTCTAGTGGCTGTCTATTCTTTCTAGTAGACAGCCACTAGAGGAGGAGTTAACCCTTCAAGGTAAATATTGCAGTTTATGAAAACTGCAATATTTACAGTTGCAGGGTTAAGGGTAGTGGGAGTTGGCACCCAGACCACTCCAATGGGCAGAAGTGGTCTGGGTGCCTGGAGTGTTCCTTTTAGCACCATAGTTAGTAATCAGGCTAAAGATCCATGGAAAACGAGCCCTACCCGAAGGTGTTGGAAGGCATGAATGCTGAATGGAAGCTCTATGATATTCGTACAGTCTGGCTGCATCAGGTTGGAAGGTAAGGGACTGTGCATGTCCACGTAATCTTCAGGGCTGAAAAACAAACACAGAACAATAAATATATATTTCACTTGCTCTGAAAGAAGTGTTGAGTTTTCAAATTCAATACTTTGTAATCTACAAAAAAAAACTACAATATTCTAATTTCCTTACCATAGAGATTATTGATAATAGTAATAAACAGTTGGAGACAAATACCTTAAAGTGAGGCAAACATTGTGGAAACCAACTTAAATTAGTTAAGATTGTGTCCGATCTAATAAATACATCGGCTCAGAATTAGTTACCATGGCGATCAGTATTCGGTTAAATTTTTTGTGGCTCAGCAACTTGGCAGAACCTCGCTGCTAACTCAGTGACATCAAGTTTCCAACAGTCCTCTGGGCCAAGCTCCAACATAACCAAATACAATAAAATAAACTATGTACATCATCATCTGGTAACAGAAAAAAAATATTTGAAATAACAAGAAATGTAAATAACAAATATGTAAAACTTTTACTTAGTCTGTAAAAACACTGAACCTGGAAGTGATTAATACAATACCTGACATTCTTGCTTTCCAATGATATGTATGTTCCATCGTATAAATCCAGGTCTCCCAAAGGCACTTTGGCTTTTATACAGTCTGGGTCATCTTTGTAGTGTCTCTGCTCAAGGCCTGTGTCGCGGTCTTCATTCTCCTCAATGTGTATCTTCTGAGCAACCAAGTGTTTCTGTACAATTAGAGAATCACAGGAAAAAAAAACAAAAAAAACAAACACGGATGATTAATGTTTTCACTAAGAGCATGATCTGCTGAAGGATGGCCAGACAATTAGAAGTGATTCCGAATGGACAGACAGAATTACACAACAGGATTTTACCTCTAACTCTCTGAGGTAGCCAACAGTGGTCTCTTGTCGCATCAAGATCACTAAATCGTGAGGGTGCTTCAAATTCATAGGGGAGTCAACCTGGGATACACAGAATACACAACACAGTTTTAATTCTAACAAGACATTGGACAATCAAGTTTGAGACTCCTTTAACGTATTAAGGAAGTCCTGACTGACTAAATGCTTCTTCGTATGAGAAGCACAAGGTATGCCCAGTTTGAAATTAACATGCATATTATACCTATTTGTTTTTACTTGGAACAATAAAGTTTTTTTTCATGATGCAACTATGCACAGGTATGTGACACTGCACTCCAATCACGTGAAGAAAAGGGTGCTAAAACTGGACCAAGGGCCAGCACCAGTCCAGAGGAGTAGATACCAATAGTAGAAAGAGGACCAAGGCACTCCAATATTTTCAAATATGTTTATTGGAACAAGTGAGACACCGCAGCGCCTAACTTGTTCCAATAACTGTATTTGAAGATATTGAAGTGCCTGGTACCTCCTTCTTCTATTGATATCCTAACAAATCAGAGCTTTTTACTTACTTACTTACATTACCCTGAATGTTATTTTTCCATGTTATATATTTCTTCGGCTTTGTAGTGCTACATTTCATAACTTTATATTAGCACAACAAAACAAACTAGTCTATTTTATCTTGTTAAATTTGTTTTAAATCTGCTCAGTGCTATTTTATTTAGTTGCTTTTTAATGAAGTATTTATAGCCTTGTCCTTTGATGGGTGGCACTTTAAATACTTCACATGCATGGTACCAGTGAGTTTCACAAGTTCATACATCAATGTCTATAACATAAAAAAAAAATGTTTTTAAAAAGGAATAAATAATAAAAGCCCTATTCAGAGCAAAAAAATAATAAAAGGTGTATAGGGTGTGTTTCCCAAATTCGTCCTAAATGTTTAGATTACTTATTGATACAGTTTAGTGGGCTATTCACCATTGTCTCAACCATCAGATATTCAAAATGAATTTTTAATTTATTTCCAAAATAGATGACCTGGAAATATTCAAGTGAGCCATGTTTTTAGATTGGCTTTAATGGCCTATAATTTGAACACACACACACACATTTAAAACGAAAGACAGCTATTATAAATGTAATTATATTTCCACACCTTGCAATAAGAGGCGGTAACCAATAACACTTCACCAGAAATGAATGCAATAAAATTTAAAAAAAAGGTATATAAAGTCTATAGAAAATTACATTGGTCTTAAAACTGCCTCTATTCTTTCGACATGGTCTAATCTAATTGCTAGAAGAAAAATAACTAAAACAAACCAAACACAACTTGCCAAAGACAGAATTGACTAGTCTAAGGTGAGCTCTCAGAATTATAGCACCACGCGAGACGCTATTCAGACCGGGCCCTTCTCTCGGATAGCCAGTCGCTGCATTATCTGTCACAAGTAAGATCGCAAAGAAATACAAAGAAATGCTTATTTAGCAAAAACAGGAAAAGCTAACAGATAGATGTGAATGTGATACAGCACTGGACTCTGGATTCCTGAAATATTCTGTCTGCATATGTGGCAGTAACAAACAAATACATTTTTAGAAAACGTAATTTGTATTCTCCAAAAAAATAAATTAAAAATAAATAAATAAGGATTGTAGGCCTTTAATCAGTTCTCATCCAGAAAATACTGTTCTGTGTGATTTACGGTATATTTCCTCTAGACAGTTTATTTTAGTATTGTAACATGGTCTTCTCCTTTACTGAGATATTACTTGTGTTCACATATTAAAAAAAAAAAAAAAAGTGATTTGCAGTCGTCATGATGGTGCCTGGAATCTGTATGTGCCGTGCTAAGCTTTGAAGCACTGCATATACAGAGTTTAACCTATTTGCTTCCAGAAGTGAAACTATATCCAGCAGCACCATAGGGGTGTCATTAGCCAGCTTGGAAGAGTTCCGGGCTCACTAATGTCAATTCTGTGCATATTTTATACACATTATTGCATTCATTAGCCAAGAGCGGTCAGCTGACGCTCTCAGCTAATGGATGGTCGGCGGGATCAAATTCATATTGTTACTAGCCACCAGGGACCCTGGTAAAAGTTCAAACCCTTTGTAAAAAAACTGTTTGCCCCCTTTACAGGGAAACTAGGTCTTGGTATTATAACAACTGTACTTTGTGGATAGATAGTTTAAAGGGACACACCAGACCCCTAATGCACTTCAGCTTTATGTGTGAAAAGTGAAACTCTTACTTTCATTTTACAAAAAGTGCAGATTTCAATAGAAATTGGTATTTTTATAAATTAACCTGGTTACCACCCCCTGGCTGTTAGACAACTGGTCCTGTTAATTCCTGGTTGTTTAGCTCAGTGGCACCTGCCTTGCAAAGACTTCTCATAGAGTAGCATCGGAAATCTGTGATTGGACAGACACAGAAGGTCTGGGCAAGGGTTAGAAGGGAAGAGCTTGCAAAGGCCACAGACACAAGTTCTACAGCTTTTACAAATGGTTATGTATATATACACACATACATACATACATACATACACACCCCAAATTAAAAAAACATTCTTAAATGCATACATGTTTTCATTTGGGAATAACTATAAAACAGTGTTTTGTTTTGCCTTTTGGACAGTGGACTGTCCCTTTAACCCCTTAAGGACACATGACATGTGTGACATGTCATGATTCCCTTTTATTACAAAAATGTTGTCCTTAAGGGGTTAATGAACTTTAGAAGACGAAAGACAAGGAAAGAAAATTTAGCAGGTTTGAAATTATTTTTATATAGCACCATCAAACTCTGCTGCGCTTTACAATGGGTGGACTAACAAACATGTTATTGTAACAAGACAAATTAGAAGACGAAAGACAAGGAAAGAAAATTTAGCAGGTTTGAAATTATTTTTATATAGCACCATCAAACTCTGCTGCGCTTTACAATGGGTGGACTAACAAACATGTATTTGTAACAAGACAAATTTGACGCACAGGAATAGAGGGGTTGAGGGCCCTGCCCAATGAGCTTACATGCTAGAGGGAGTGGGGTAGAGTGACACAAAAGGTAACGGTAGGAGTGAAGAAGTCAAATCAAAAATTTATTCTGAACAAACTAATCAATGTTTCTGGGATTCAAAAGAGAAGAAGTTAAACGAATGTGCCAATGGTTCACTTAACATGTCTTTATTGCCGAATTGATTTGAAGAAAAAATAACATAACCCTCAAACTATTTAATGGCGTATTTACTAAAGTATCATTCCTTTACAGAAGCGTTGTTTAAATGGCTTGTGGGATCTACTAATTGGTCGTGATTCCTGGCACAGGTGTGTCACTACATTACAATGAGCCACTATTAGCTCACCCATGTTCACGTAGGAAGAAGAAGGGCTCTAGTGGGTGGTCCATAGCGTCATGTTAGTGCCTGAGTAGATTGGAAAATGCATATAATTTCTATACGAATCCTCCATATCCCCAGAATTGTTCAATAGGACAGTAATTATCATTGAACAACTGATAGCTCAAGATAAACACCAGTACAAAATACACTTCAAGATAAACACCAGTACAAAATACACATCTAGATAATGGCCTACAGCAGGTTCATTAAAAATGTACCGAGAGCTACAAACAGTCCAGATTTTATAACTGAATAATAAAGGGACTGCTGGTAGTGAAACAGGACTGGTTTGCAAATTCCACCTTTACAACAGCACTGTATAAAGAGGACACTGCATTTCTTCCTCTAGATGTACAGACAGAGCAGCTAGATAGAGTTCAAACACACCCGCTGCTGCATTAAAATTAAATAAGATTGAAAAAAAAAAAAAGGAGATAAAGGAGACCGATCATTTGGAAAATACTATAAAATAGAAAATAATATTATAATAAAAAAACAAAACAAAACACAAAATAAGACTTTAAAGTGGCAAACACACGCATACACAGATAGATACTTGTGGTCGGGGACAAAAGAGTGCGAAATTATAGACATTTGAGTTAAAAATAGCTGGCGTGAAAAAATTATTCAACTCACATATAGTCACAGTTTAGTAATATTTTACTTCGGTATTCAAGTTCAACTCACTACAATATGATGCTTAGTGAATAAACCCCCTGATGAAAGACCTTAACCAGTAGCTAGGGTGAATTCACTGGAGGACAAATGACTGGGAAATTGGTAATGTATTTATGGGAACACTCAAAGCACTATAACCACAACAGTGTGCTGTAGCAGTTATGGTGCTTGCGGTGTTAATTTAAAAGGTATTTTCATCTCTACTACAAAGTTCTTGGTTTTGTTTTTAAAGCAATTCCTACAAAAGCGCACTGATCTAATTTCAGAAGGAACCAATGTATTACATAAAATGGAAGCAAGGAAAATAAAATGGTTTTTAATCATCTTTATCCGCATGGAGCGTCCTATTCATGTAGTCTAAAGAGTTCTGGAAAATTATTTTAATATTTAATGAGGACAGTCCAAAGGTTAGATCCCCAGATGCTGTTGAACTAAAATTCCCATGATGCTTTGCAGTGTTAAGAATGTCAGAATTCTACCTTTTGGGCACCCCTACGCTAGATAGCACAATGATCCATAATAGCACAGAGTTGCTAAAGCCATGTCTGTGATAACAGCTCACTCCACAGGTTAATGGTTAAAAGGTTTTTCTCTCATAAGAGCTTTACGAGAATGAAAATGATTATAAGCTATTCTTAGCGTTGCCTATAAAAATGCATCAATGTGATTTAATGAATTTCAGCCACAGTTGAATAGATTTTCCAAACGTGTTGCTTTAGGTGAAAAAAAAAAATGAAATTTGGCAGCTAGACTGACCAAAGTCTCAATGAACTAGCAATAAATAAAATGTGCAGTGCACATATAACCTAATAGGTGTATACAAAACACCACAAAGTGCCAAATAATCAATCAGGTAATATGTTCCCTCCTCAATTAATTATTTGAGGAACGCTGGATCATATCAAAATACTATAAAAGGTGGGAAATTAGTGGCACAACATCTTGAAACAGATGTAATTTGGAACCACTTACATATTATAGAGCTGCAGCCAGTCTACATATATAACAAGCACCAGGGTGCCCCATTCGTGGGCTTATGGCAGGAAAAGCAGATCTGGTCTTCAAACAACAGGTATCACATTAGATATACATTTTAATCCAATTAATGTTATGGCATAGCCATGCCATGGGTGCAAAACTGTGGTGGTACAAATCTTACAGGTGCCAATTGCTGGGAAAACAGTGACTTCCACAAATGAACACCACCCTGTCCACATGCAGTCAATGGTAACCTACCTCAGATGTATACTAGCCCGTCTGATATTAACACCTCCTTCCTTGACCATATGTATTGATCTTCTTTCTGCGACCCTCCATACCTGCCTCTCTCTTTCTGTACTTCAACCATCTAATCTACCTCATCCTTTCTCTGTGCACTGACCTCATCTATCTGCCTCCTCTCATTCGATCCTGTTTAGAATATATACAAAATAGTTTAGCCCTCATACATTTTAATCAGGTGCTTGCTGGCCTCCGATCACCTCCAATGAGCAGCAAAATATGTAGACAGAGGAAACAGTCATCCCTGACTTCATCTACCTTCTTCCTCTCTCTCAATCTATCCTGATCCAATTTACTTGCCTCCTCTCTCTATCTGTATCCTAACTTTACCCCTCTGCCCCCTCTCTATGTAACCTGACTATATCATTGACTGCATCATTGTCTCCTACTCTCTCAGAGCCTCCCTGCACCTCTTCTTCATTCTGTTCTACTCTGCCCTTGGTCCGCTCTGTCTCATTGGCCTGGTTCCCTAAACCAAACTTCCCAGCCCTGGTTCTCGCTATCACCCTGTCCTGACCTGGTCCTCTCTATCACCTTGCCCTGCTCCACTCTGTCACCCTATCCAGCCATGGTCCTATCCGTCACCCTGTCTAGCACTGGTCCTCTCTGTCTTCCTGTCCTTGTACTCTCTGTAACTCTGTCCTGACCTAGTTCTCTCTGACATCCTGTCCAGCCCTGGTCCTAGCTGTCAATCTGCCCAGGACCCTGTCCAGTCTCGAACTGTCACCATGTACATCCCTGGCCATCTCTGTCATGCTCTCCAGTCTGAATCTATCACCCTGTTCATCTCGGATCTATCACCATGTTCATCCCAGGCCCTCTTAGTCACCCTATCCAGACTGGATATGTCAACCTGTCTATCCATGGTCCTCTCAAGTCTGAATGTGTCACCCTGTCCATTCTGGCCCTCTATATGTCACCTTCGCCAGTCTGAATGTGTCACCCTGTCTATCCCTGGTCCTCTCTAGTCTGAATGTGTCACCCTGTCTATCCCAGGTCCTCTCTAGTCTACATGTGTCACCCTGTCCATCCCTGGTCCTCTCTAGTCTAAATGTGTCACCCTGTCCATCCCTGGTCCTCTCTAGTCTAAATGTGTCACCCTGTCCATCCCTGGTCCTCTCTAGTCTAAATGTCACCCTGTCCATCCCTGGTCCTCTCTAGTCTAAATGTCACCCTGCCATCCCTGGTCCTCTCTAGTCTAAATGTGTCACCCTGTCCATCCCTGGTCCTCTCTAGTCTGAATGTGACACCCTGTCCATCCCTGGTCCTCTCTAGTCTGAATGTGACACCGTGTCCATCCCTAGTCCTCTATGTGTCCCCTTACCCAGTCTGAATGTGACACCCTGTCCATCCCTATCCCTCTGTCACCCTGTCCAACCCATATCCTCTCTGTCACCGTATCCAGTTTGGGTCTGTCACCTGTAAAAGTTTGGGTCTGTCTCCCCCCCCACCCCCTACCTGTCCAGTTTGGGTCTCTCTCCCCCCCCTGTCCAGTTTGGGTGTCTGTGTCCCCCCTCCTCTCTGACCTGCTGCTGGATCTTGCCGTCCTCTGTCACCACCCAGTGTGTGGTGGCCCCCGAGGGCCTGGCGCTGGCTAGCAGTATGAGGAGTCCCAGAAGGCCGGTCCATGTTCTGATAGTCCGCTTCCTGCCAGCCAAGGCTCCGGTCCCGGAGAAGCAGTGCGGCCCGCTCCTGCTTTCCTCCATATTTCCTGATGACGACACTTCCGCCGCAGGCACCGGAAGCGGAAGCGAGACCGCCATCTTGGTAGAGGCAAAGTCCACCTTGCAGTGCATACATTACCTGTACCTTCCTCCCATCCACCTGGCTGGCTGAGGTTCGTGGGAAACAAAGTCCACAAACCCAAAATGCAATGTTATTAAAACAGAGACAGGCATTGTCAAAGGGCAGATCCTCAGCCACTGGAGGGACTACACTTCACATGATGCTTTATTAGATAAGCATAATGGGAGTTGTATTCCTGAAAAACGTGGAGAGCTGCCCTGTGTCCCCAACAGCACTCCATAAGCCCACAGCTAACAACTCTTGATAATTATTTATTGAAGACTGAAAACAGCATAATATCTCCTCTCTCACAGGAGTTTCCTCACTAAAAGAGAAGAAAAAGAGAGAGAAAGAAAGATCCATTGTAGTCAAAATTCTGCTGTTTTACCCTTGTTTGCGCCGTCTAGATTGTAGTTTGCAGTTTAGTCAATAATCTAGTGTCAAACTGAATGCTAACTCAACCAAGCAAAGCTAGGACTATAGGGAGTTGGGAGATTTTTATTTTCTACAGGAGGCATATTTGCCTATATTTTCAATTTGGTTTTAAATTTACCGCTATTTGGTTTTTAGTACATAGATCTAGATTTGCATTAACCTCATGATGCAGAAGACTAGCAAGAATATTTAGAGGAAAACAAAAAACACCATAACGACTACAGTGCTCCAAAGTGTTTATAGTGCTATGCTATGACATTTTACTTGGGGGGTCAGCAAGGCAATTTTCACTGCTTCTTCCCTTCCATAACCTCTCTGATATTAAGCCCTGGAATGCGTTAGAGAAGATGCAGTTACTGGCACCTAGAAGTCCCTACTTACATTGGGAAAGCGACAGGGCAATCCTGGCACCATTACTACAACATGTAGTGTTTATAGTGCTTGCAATGTTTCTTTAAAATGATTACATTGCTCATTTTGTATGAGGCTTCAAGTATAATCCACCAGAGAAACTGACAAAAAGTTATGGTTACCATGTGGTTCTGTGTTTTTTCTTAAATAGGACTGGGTTTCTGCAATATAAATTTGCCTAGTCTGGTTATTGTGGCCTAAAATGTGCGTTTTTCTTGTCAATGCTCCACGGCAGTTTCATGGAAACTCCAAAACAGTAGGTTTGCCGAGCTTGAGAAAAAATATGTACATTTCTCAAGCCATTTTGTGAATGGAAAACTACTAATAGGCTTACGCTCTCAGAGCGTAATCTGTAATCAGTAACGCTCAGCCAAATCAGCAGCACCCCTGTTCTGTTTCAAGAATTAGAGAGCAGCAAAAGGACAGGGTCAAAGCTAAAGGGTGTTGGATTCAAGACTTTGAGGTTAGACCGGTCATGACCTCCTGGCACAATAATAACTAGTTCCAATGAAGTTATGGTGCCCAGAGTGTTCCTTTATTATATAGAACATTTGATTTTAAGCTCATGAATATATTCCATAGAGAAACCGGTTTTCACCATGAGTCTTCATTTAGCAACGATATTAATCATATTTAGCTACAGTATCTTTTTCTTCTGCCATGATGGCCTAAATTATGCAGCACCCTTGACAATTCTGCACAACTCACAGTTTAGAGAGCATAGCAAAGTCACTTATTACTGTCTGACTACATATGTGCTCCAGTGACAGGGCTACATTGTGTTATGTTGCTTATTTCCCCTCCCAAGAAAATCAATAAAAATTTCAAATGGAAAAAAAGTGACTAGTAACATTCTAGAGTTCAAGTTTAATATGCAAATCATCACTTCACTTAAACCACTACTAATTGTAAAGTGTATATATATATATATATATATATATATATATATATATTTTTATATATTTAAAAAAAAACAAAACAAACAAACACTAAATTCTGAGCACAAGCTAGCACTCCACAACATCCTCCGTTATGTGCCTGGTGTTGCAACGAATACAAAACGCATTCTCATGTGTCCAAAGGACCAATATATCATCCAAATTATGCAATTAACCTATACTTTTTGCTGGGAACAAATAGTTGGATCAGCTGACCACATTAATCTGCTTTTCCCCAAATAATGCAAAAGCATGCTAGGAACTGTGTGATGCCATGTTGGTCTTATGGACTCTTTTTTAACTCAGCTCTTTGGCCGAGTGTTTTGTGAATAACCTTATATTAGTTCCTCTGGGTAAAGGGATAGTTTTCTTAAAGGCCACTAAATTCAATATAACATTTAAAGTGAAAAAATGAGCCATTCCACATTACAAAACAAATTTATTCCAGAACATGGAATCTGTTACAGACCAAGAAAGAAAGAAAAAAAAAAAGAAAAAAAAACAGCAAGGTTTCAGAATGGAACAATTATTAAAATTCAGTCTTACAAACATACATTCCAGTACAAACTCTGGAATCTAAACATGCCAACACATTTCAAGAGAAAAAAAATTAAAAAAAAAGTTGTAATACTTTGGGTGCAGATTTTAATGAAGTATTAACATTTTAACAAACAATCTCAATCAACGATGAATACAAACATTAAAAATAATAAAATCATATTCCTCAAAGAAAATATAAAGTTGACTGCTTGTAAAAACTGAAAATAAATATATCCAAAGAAAAAAAAACAAAAAACATTCACTTCCCAAGATCGCCAACTCCAAACCCATACAGAACTCTGCATACCCCAAACCCTATGAGCGTAGATGGTAACCAAAGGGATTATATTTGCCATGTATTATTTTAATAGACCAGTAATGCCCCTGGCCACAGTGCAGCAGGTTGAGATTCTTTCCATTTTGTTTTGTTGAAATTTGTTCTGGAATTGCAATTTTTTTTCTAATTAGAATTGCATACAATATTTTTAGTACTGCAATAAGAAACCTACTACTGACTAGTTGTTGCACTTCACCATAATTTTGTCACTTATCAAAAATTAGAGATTAAAGTCCTTGAGTCCCGTAGCTTGTCCCAGTCCATTTAATTGCCTTTTTCAATTTGGTAGAGGGCGCAGAGGTAATTTTTATAAACTCCTAGTTGAAGTTTATAGCGGCCTCCTGTAGACTTGCAAGAATATAGCGCCAAAAATAGTTGAGGGGGAACGGAATGTAACCCCCCCAAACACATGCGAGGTTTAATATTTGTTCAATACAAAGAGATTTTGTACACATTACTGGTAAAGGACACAAAATTTATTTTATTGGAATGGACTTTGTAATTGTGACATACAACCCTCAAAAGCATAAACTGCTAAATATGTAAACAACGAAACGTAATGCATAAAAAACCCCCAAAAAAACAAAACACAATGGCTACATACTATTTGGACTGCAGCTTCCAATAAACCACTGCAAAATACAGCAAGCTTTCTTTTATGGTAGCTGGACAGAAGTAGTAACTTGGATGATTATACAATTGGGATAACCAATGGTTCTCCACTGCCCAAAACGCAAGGTCGTGGACTAAAAAGTATCAACTTCCTCAACAGCATTGGTGAAAACTGAAAGTCCTAATTAGTTGGCAACAAAGTGTAAAATTTAGAGTGAAACTAAATCTTACTCTACAGCTATATTACGTGCAAAGTGAAGTGTTTTTTTTAAAAGCCACGTCTGTGAACATTTATATGTAGCGAATTGAGAAACTACTTTCTACGTATGGCTAAAGAGTACACCAACAGGTTAGCTATAGTCTATACAATCAGCTAGAAAACCGACAGATCTAAACATGGAGGAAATTTTACCCTCATGGATTACAACACCCTGGTCTGCAGCTGCCAGCACAGCATCCCTTTTCTTAGATCACACAAGGCATTTCATCGTCCCTAGCATGCTGGGTTTACTCCAGGAGTTGTAAGATGCCACCAAGGCAGCCATTCCTGTCCTCGAATGGTTGCCTTTACTACCCTGTATCTTCAGTCAGAGGTTTTAAAAACAAAGGTGACAATTTAAAGTGAATTTCAAATTTAAGGCCATAGTAGCCAAATTTTGCAGCATAGCTGGCTTAGAGAAAGTTTCCATTGTGGCTAGTTATACCTTGAATTTGAAATTCACTTTGAATTCTCCCTTTAGTGTATATATTGAAAACCATACATCTTTGCTAGCAATTCAGCAAGTGTGTCATTTTTTAAATCTATAAACCAATACACCAAAGTACAAGCAACCAGAAAGAATATATGTAAATCACTCAGACATCAAATAAAAAATGAGAAAAAAAAAAAAGCATGCTTAAATCCTCTACCTGAATCAAATCCGGATTTAAAGTACGGCGGACACTTACCCCTAAAAACCAAGTGGAGAATTGTGGGAAAGGCATCCCAATCATATATTTAGTTGCCTTCAAGAAAGAGGAACTACTTTACTTTTGCCAAAAAGTATTCCTGTGTCTGTAGGTTTATGTGTATTACAAACTTATTTCATATACAAATTCAATTATATGAATGAAGTAATCCGCAAATTTAAGTTGGTAACTGTAGGGGACTAAGAACATTTTTTAAAAATTCAAGTTCGCAAATTTACTGTTACATTGAAAATCACTCATTAAAAGTTGCATTGGATAATAAATACTAGACATAACTGGTTTACTTCGTAAGCGATATAAACGCTTCTAGCTATTGTATAGTTATGTATTACAAAAGCTTTAATAAAATTCTACTATTCGTTCAAAACATTAGGGTTTCGTGTCAAATGGCCACTATCCATTTGCCATTGATCGCTACTTTTTATTTTCTATGTCTGGCTCATAGAAGGGAAAAAAAACAAAACAAAAACCACGTACTATAGGAAATATACTACCATATGGATTTATTCAAATTAAAACAGAATATGGGAAAGCAATCTTTAAATAAATTATTTTAGCAATGGCTAAACAGTAAAAGAAAAAAAAAATAATGGATTTAATGTTCTTTAACATTCCAGTGCTACCTTCGAGTTCTTCTAATGTAAACCTGCGGGCTTTCCTAAATGCAAGTGTACAGACATAGTCGAGTAAGCAAGTTAATCTAGTTAATGATAAGCAAATGTCACCAAACAAGCACAGCTTGATTCCCCTGAGCAAACCAAAAGGAATCTTGCAAGCTTCTTCGATGCCAACATTTGGGACTCAATTCTGCAATTCCCCAGTGCCAATAAAGGTTATTCTGACATTGCAGAATAGAGAAACGTAACAATTTGCACCTGCAAAACTACATGAACACAAAAAGGAAGTTGCTGGAAGGCCCAAAAATAACATATGTCATGCAGTCACTGTGTGAACAAAAGTTACAATATGGTGTTACTATGGTAATAAAGCATTTCAGTCCTAGCATTCTGTTAGCCATGAATAAGAACACAGTAAAGGTGGCGTGTGGTCTCCAGACTGAAATATTTTCTTTTCTCTGTAGTTTCAAAATTAGCTTCTCTAAAAATCTAGGGTGGTCTTCTAGTAACAGTACCTTTTATAGCTCCTGCTTGTAATATTAACAGGGACCATTCAGCATACAACCAATGTTGCACGTAAAAAAAATATAATTAAATTAAATGGAAGTGGCTCAGAATCCTGAATGTGCAACATCCATAGGGTGACTGGTTTCCAGGTTGCAGAATGTCTGGATAGAAAAAAAGAGTAGGTACATAAAAGGTATAAAGAATGTGTTTCATGTTGAAGTCTGTATCAAAGGCAATTTGTCAGGTCACTGGTACAAGTCCAGCCTTTGAATTAGTGAAAATTTCAGCAGATTCAAAATTCCTTGTCGATGCCCCTGTCACATCCTTCAATAGATTCTCCCTCTGCTACGGTTGAAGCGGCCACCACCCCATCCTCTTCCTCTACCTCCACGGAAATTTCCTCGTTGTTCTGTGGTGACAAAGAATCAATTAATAATCTCACAGATCTTAAAGTAACAGTAATGCAATTCAACAAATGCGCACACACACACACAAACATTAGTTCTGGCCTAAAGGTTAGGTCAATGCACATTGTAACTACATCAGAAATAAACACGATTTGACAGATGCTCATGCTTGTATAGCAGGTGACGTTTCAAGATTGGAACAGCATCAGAACTAAGAATTTTAGGGATTTTACTTGTATCTGGTCATTGGACATTTGAATATTTACTGAACGCCTCCAATTTGCTTACCCATAGGCTGACAGTGTATGTGCCAGGCGATCAGTGGGAACAGATTGCCCTGCAAAGTCAATGAGTTATATTGCTACTTAGCACAGACTGACATCCGCTATCAGCTAGAACTGTAACCGATTACAACTACCAGACAGAAAAACCGGTAGCTAGAATTAGTGAATCTTCAATGCCAATTATATGCCCTAGCTGTACATCATGGCTGATCCTGCATAATAACAGGATTCATGGTTGCATGGCAACTGGATAACCAAGAAGTGAGCTGCAACATGCCGCTATAACATGCTTTAAGCTGGGGCAGTTATTCATAGGAGCAAGAGATATTGAGATGCTGTATGTTTTGAGCAAAAGAGGGAGATCATTAGGGACTGGAATGACAAAATTCATACCTAACAGGTACCTCCTGATAACACTGTATAAAATACGCAGAAGCAATATATAGAATCACTTAATCAGAAGCCCAAAATTAAGGTTTTGTGGGGGAGGGTATTCTTTAGAATAGACCAAGAGATTTAAATTAAAGGCTATGATAGTTGAGCTGAAAATATAATGGAATTTTTCTAGTTCAAGTATATTGGCCCAAAATGTTTAATTCACCGACAATTCAGTTAAGTGAATGACCCCAATAATAAAAATAGCAAGCATGCTCCACAAAATAAATTACTGTCTTAAATAAGACCCTCTTATTTTAGGTAATAAATCAGAGCTTGGCTTATCACGTTACACGAATTTGTGATTTTGTGCACATTTTTAAAGTTTAATAACTCATAAATCAAAATGTTTACATCATCACTGGCATTACTGCGATTCTATGTACTTACCGTATGGAACGTTCCCAAGGGTCCCACTGTATTTTCCACTGGGTGGGTTGTAGATCTGTCTGGCATCTCGCTTTGGCCCCTGTACTTGTAACTTCTTTGGAGGTGAAGTAGACGCTGGCTCCTCGACTGATCTTTTTTGCCTGTATAAGAAGATCAAGCAGGAATATTATCTACATACTCTTATAGAAAAAGTACCCCTATGGATTTTTAGTAAACAAGTTTCAACTAGCTATAAAACACTATGATTATATATCATAATATCCTAAAACTGAATTGCACAAAAAATGCTCTCAACTCACCCAGTTTCTGCTTTCTGGACTGGTTTCCAGGACAATGTCACTGAGCTTTTGTAGGATGGAGGGTTGTGAAACAAATCCTAAAATTTAAAGAAATGGGAAAAAAAATAAATAATGTTTTTAATTTGTCAAGAAATGAGATCGGAAACACACACACACACACACAAAATATATACAGGTTGTTTTGCAACTGCAGAATTATTACAAGGGTTACTCACTAAAATGAGTCAGGAATTCAAAGTAAATTTAAAATTTAAGGCTTTAGGAGTTAAACTGGAAAAAACTATCTAAAACCAGCTATGCTTCAAATTTGGCTACTTCGGCCTTTATTGTGAAATTCACTTTGAATTCCTGACAATTCCTACTTTAAGTGAATAACCCTGTAGGAGTATTAAGACAAATTTTACAGGTAAGAGGGAGGGTGCGTGGGACGTGAAATAATTACCTTAATTAAAACGTTGATGTTATTGGTTATTTTCAAAGCCACTACTTTAATTTTGTTCTGAAAGAAAAATAAGAAAATCACATTATACAGTCGAAATTCACACTCTAACAAAGTAAATAATCCATATATCGGCTATAAGGTATATTTTATTCCAGCAATGTAACATTTACAGATTCATTGGTGGTTGTAAAACAAACTCAACAGCTGATGGCCAATGCAAGATACTATTAAACAAGGCAGACCAGAAATGAAAACATATCTGTTGTTTTAGGACTACAACTCCCATGATGCTCTATCAATCTTGAAGAGTAGTGAAGCTGGGCATATTTTAGTTTAACAAAAGAATGTAAAGTACAGTTGTGTCACTATATATTGGCCCAAACACAAAGGTATACAATGCAGCATGAATATTTTTACCTCTTCTGTTTTCAGTGCTTCCCCTGACTTGCCTTGCAAAGCGAGGCGCAGTTGCCGAATGTAAACTTGAAGTCCTCGGGCAAAGTACTGTAACCTGTAAGAAGTAAATTGTGTTAATGTGCTTGTTTGCAGAATTTGACATAAAAACCTTGGTCCAGAACAATGTGATACTATCACAGGTAGTGTACAAAAAGGAATAAAGAACTTACCTGATTTTGAAATCTTTTAACTTCTCAGCATTCACTTTAGCTATGAGAAAGTCTGGTAACTTTCTCCCCAGTTGGTGGAAACTGAAGAGAAGACACTCGACGTAACTGAACTGCAGCTTAGGTTCTTCATTAGCTGTATTCTCACCATTCTCTGTTTCTTCGGGAGGAAGAGGCATATATTCCTATCAACACAATAAGAAAAAAAAGGTTAATACTGTTTAACTATGCAAATACGCATTGACGTAATTACAATCTTACACACCCTTAAATGAGATTACTTTTATAGAAGAAAGCAAAAATGAAAAATGCTCACCAGTAATTTATCAAAAAGTTTGTTCACATTTGACTCAAGCTTGTCCATATCCCCGCAGTACGAGCTCATTTCAGCAAGCAGTTTCAAGACCTGTAAATACAACAGTACATTAAGTTAAAGCCAGTATTTATTTTATACAAAACATTGTTACACAGAATATGTGGCACATCGCAAAATAGCAAAAATTAGTCATATTTATTATTATATGGGTAATGAATTCTAATATGCAAACATATAATTGATACAAAAGACTAGACTTCGAAGATCTTGAATTTACTGGCTTTTCAGTTTTTACATCTCAAATTAGGATGTTCGCATTGTATTCAAATCAGTTTTAACTTACTACTCATACTCCGGATTTAATTAGTAGTTAAGCACTTGCCAAAGTTTCACTGATCATATACTGTGAGAGACTATAAGAGATTGATGCCTAATCCATTAGGATCTGCTACCTGCTTTGCTGACAGTCCCATTCATTATGAGTGAAACTGTCAGATGTGATCTGCTAACCAGGAAGCTGTGTATTTGTATAGTGTGCCTATGCTGTTCCAATATTTTGAAAGGTAGCGGAAGTATAGCTGAACAAAGGGGCATGTTAAAAGCTGCAGTGATTGAAGCAAATCACTGCAGTTCTAAGCATGACTGTAGGGAATCAGGAGATCTCCTTGCATCATAACCACTAAAATGTTACAAATGTGCATGGAGAGCCCCTTTAAGCACAGACCATTATGTTTTTCACCACTCCTCTGAAACACAGATCACCAATATAATTAAAAATTAGTAAGAAAACACTTACTTCAAGCTGAACATCAATACCTTCGGCGGGGCTGGTCAAGGAGCTCAAGGTAGGCAGGACATTCTCACAGAAGTATGTCAAAAACTTAGTCGAATGGACATTTTTCTTTAAGACAAAAAAAAAAAAAAAAGAAGCAAATATTGAAATCTGAACATTTTATTATTGATTAAAGCATATGATGGAGACTAAAACAAAGACGTGTAACTTACTGAAAAGAGGGGAACAGCCTGTCTCATGCACTGCAGCATGCGGTCTACAGAATCGGGGTCGGCGGGATTTAAAGTTTGATGCAGGCCGGCCTGTTCAGACACCAGATCTACCAGCTGCTGTCTTCCACTAACCGTCTGTAAGGTTTTCAGATATGAGAGGATCTTCATGAACAGCACAAATTCTTCTCCAGTGACATCATACAGGACCTGCAGATCGATAATGTTTAATTAAATAAACTGTTACTTAAGCCGACAAGCCATTGACAAAAATCATTCATCTACGCCTGCTTGTGAATATGCATCTTTTTTGTATTCCTACCTTCTTGGACTCATTAAATACATATTCTTCTACTTCCTTTGTCATGATGTCCTCTGGCAGAGTCTTCAGCTTGGTGGAGAGAAATTTAATGGCCCTCTCACGAACAATATCTTCTCCTTGGAGAATCTGCGTAAACAACCCACCTAATGTACCTACAGAGTGGGAAAAATATATATATATTGGTATGTTCACAGATGTGTTCTACGTACTGAACTACAAACACTGCTAGTAAATGTATAGATTTTTTTTTTTTTTTTAATATGCAGAAAATGGCTACTACTGTGGGATTGAATCTACAGCTCCACGATAATTTGTGCACAGCTGTCTTAAGTATAACTAGAACACTGTATATTATGGGTGGATATGGTTGCCGTTTTTATCTCATTGGGCATAGCAGTTATAGTTACAATATATTTTTTTAAAGGAATACAGTTTGAACTACTGCTAGAACAGAGTATGTTATACTTCTGCAAAGTGTTAAATTACCTCACTTTACTGAGTTCCTTTAACCCCTTTTATTCCAGAAGTTTGGTCCTTAAGGGGTTAAAGAACCCATTAGATCTGTCTGTATTAAAATAAAAAAAAGTAATTACTCTTACCTTTGGCATCAATTTTAAAAATTGTAAGCAAAGCATTGTTCACTAGGTTAAATTCAGCCGAGTCATCTAAAAAACAAAAAACAAAAAAACAAATCATGAAAAAAAAAAAATGTAAAGCTGCTGACAGAATTCTTAAAAGATGTGCTGGATTTAACCAGCAAAGATACAATTCAAGGACATTCTAGCAAAAGTTAAATTTTTACGATACAGTCTCTTGTTTAATTAAAATATAACTCAGCAGTTAAAAAATTTACTTATTGTGGGTAATAAAATCATACCTGACTGCAGTAACTGAGTCAAAATATCTGCTACACGAGGTAGGTTCTCTCCTGCAGCAAACTGGGACAGTTCTTTGATCGCTTGACGACGAATCTGATAAGGAAACAAATACATTTACAATACAGTTTGTTTAAAACATTATTATACAAGAATAACAACCCAATAAAACTTTGTTTACTTACTGAAACATCTTCATCTTCACACAGGTCAAGCTGTGCATTAAGAGCTGCATCAGAAAGCTCAGGGAAATGTTTGAAGAATTTTGGAATAAATTGGGCTGCAAGCCTCTTTTCCTTGGCTCCTCCCTTCACGCCATCCAAGATCACTTGGTATGCATTTTTGTGCTAAAAAAACCCAAACATTTACTTCAATTAGAGACAATTAATCAGGGATCACGCAGGAAATTAGTGACTTGATGGTTAGCACATGGCACCTCAACAAACCAGGGGAGCACTCAAGGTTATCGGAAGAACAGGATAGGGACACTCAGATGGAAGGGACGCCCGGGACACACAGAAAACAGGCAGTCACGGGAAAAGAACAAAGGTGATTCAGAATATAGAAAATCAGGGAAAGAGAATCCAGGTAGTCAGGCAGTCAAAGAGAACCCAGGTGACTCAGGATACCGGCAGTCAGGGGGAAGAGAACCCAGGTGACTCAGGATACCGGCAGTCAGGGGGAAGAGAACCCAGGTGACTCAGGATACCGGCAGTCAGGGGGAAGAGAACCCAGGTGACTCAGGATACCGGCAGTCAGGGGAAGAGAACCCATTCGACTCAGGATACAGGCAGTCAGGGGAAGAGAACCCATGCGACTCAGGATACCGGCAGTCAGGGGAAAAGAACCCATGCGACTCAGGATATAGGCGGTCAGGGGAAAAGAACCCATGCGACTCAGGATACAGATACTCTGGGGAAGAGAACCCATGCAACTCTGAATACCCAGAACACAGTCAGTTGGGGGAAGAGAACCAAGGTGACTCAGGATGAAGGGGACCACCAGGCGGCTGGAGACATCCGACGGGAGGGAGACCACCGGGCAGCTGGAGACACCGGGCGGCTGGCGCCCTGAGTGAAGGGGGACCACCGGGTGGCTGGCGCCCTGAGTGAAGGAGACACCTGGGCGACGAACACTCAAGCAGGGAGGGAGGGAGTCAGTTAGTGATTAGGAGCCAGATAGTGAGTGAAGTGGTGGGGAGCCGGATAATGAGGGTGGAGGAGGGGAGCTGGGCAGTGAGGGGGAGGTGAGGCGGATAGTGCGAGTGGAGGTTGAGGAGGAGGATAGTGCGGGTGGAGGTGATAGTGATGTGGATAGTGCGGGTGTAGGTGATAGTGATGTGGATAGTGCGGGTGTAGGTGATAGTGATGTGGATAGTGCGGGTGTAGGTGATAGTGATGTGGATAGAGCGGGTGGAGGTGATGTGGATGGTGCGGGTAGAGGTTGATGGTGGAGGCGGATAGTGCGGGTGGCGGGGGAGATGGATGGAGGCGGGTGGAGGGGGAGATGGTGCGGGTAGAGGTTAATAATGCGGGTGATGGTGATAGTGAGGCGGGTAGTGCGGGTGTAGAGGGTGAGGGAGGCGGGTGGAGGGGGAGGTGATGTGGATGGTGCGGGTGGAGGTTGATGGTGGAGGCGGATAGTGCGGGTGATAGTGATGTGGATAGTGCGGGTGGATGGTGGGGGCGGATAGAGCGGGTGGAGTGAGAGATGGAGGTTGATGTTGGAGGCGGATAGAGCGGGGGAGGTGATGGTGCGGGTGTAGGGGGAGGCGGATAGTGCGGGTGATAGTGATGGTGCGGGTGTAGGGGGAGGCGGATAGAGCGGGTAGTGCGGGTGAGGGGTGGATGGTGCGGTGTAGGGGAGTAAGTGATTGATGGACAGTGCGGGTGTAGAGGGTGATGGAGGCGGGTGGAGGATAGTGCAAGTAAGTGTAGGGGAGGCGGATATGAGCGGGTAGTGCGGGGAGGTGATGGCGATGCGGGTGTAGGGGAGGCGGATAGAGCGGGTAGTGCGGGCAGGAGGTGATGGTGCGGGTGGTAGGGGAGTAAGGGATTGAGCGACAGCGGGTGTAGAGGGTGATGGAGAGGGGGGCGGGTGGAGGATAAAGTGCGGGTGTAGGAGGCAAGGCGGATAGAGCGGGTAGCGCGGGGAGGTGATGGTGATGGTGCGGGTGTAGGGGAGGCGGATAGAGCGGGTGAAAGTGCGGGTGAGGATGGTGCGGGTGTAGGGGAGGCGGATAGAGCGTGGTAGTGCGGTGAGGGGTGATGGTGGGGGAGGCGGATAGAGTACGGGTAGTGCGGGGAGGTGATGGTGCGGGGTGTAGGGGAGGCGGATTGAGCGGACAAAGTGCGGGTGTAGAGGGTGATGAGGCGGGTGGGGAGTGATGGTGCGGGGTGTAGGGGAGGCGGATAGAGCGGGTAGTGCGGGGGAGGTGATGGTGTAGGGGGAGGCGGATAGAGCGGGTAGTGCGGGGGAGGTGATGGTGATGGTGCGGGTGTAGGGGGAGGCGGATAGAGCGGGTAGTGCGGGTGAGGCCGGAGCCGATCCATACCTGGCTCACATCGTCCTTGGCGTCGGCCAGGATGCCGTAGTTGCGGTATAGATCTTCCACGGTGGGCATGGCGGGCTCGGGCTGGGTGTCCGCTCGGTTCTCGGTCCGTTGGCCTGATTCTCCCGGGCTCACAGTGTGCGCACAGCTCTACCAGCGAGACCAACGATAGACACTGAGCCGATAACAGAGCGGCACAGCGACACCTGGAGGCACCTGGCGGTCACTGCAAGCAGCACGCAGCGCTCAATACAACACAGCGAGGGAGGCGGCCGAGACAGCGACACCTGGAGGCACCTGGCGGTCACTGCAAGCAGCACGCAGCGCACAATACAACACAGCGAGGGAGGCGGCCGAGACAGCGACACCTGGAGGATCCTGGCGGTCACTGCAAGCAGCACGCAGCGCACAATACAATACAGCGAGGGAGGCGGCTGAAACAGCGACACCTGGAGGATCCTGGAGGATAATGCTCTATACTGCACACAGAGTAGGCGCTATCACGAGACAGCGACACCTGCAGGAGACTACCGGAATCACAGGATACAGCAGACCTTCACCCAGCAATGTTCTCAGTCTGTTTGAGCTGGGACTGAATTTTTGGGGGCCAGTTATACCCAGTCAGAGGGGGGCAGTGCCCTGAGACAAAACAAAGCACTCACAGGGGGGTGAGACTGCTCTACAAAGAAACCTATAGAATGACATAGGGGGGAACCTGACATTAGCATATTATTAGAATATTCACAGGGAGGGAGCCAGTGTTCACCAAACATTAACATAATACCTGCAGGGAGGCTCTGCACTTACCCAAAATATCACCAACCATGAGCAATTTCACATAGTGTGTGCCCAGATCAGGCTGTACATAGACTAATGGAGATGGGGGTACACTGTGAGAATTAAAGGGGGTGAATGGACACCCCTAATTGCACATTGGTAGCCATGTATTATAAAGTATTGGCTCAAGTTGGGACAAGGGTCAGGGTCAACTCTTAAATATATATATATATTTTTTTTTTTTTAAAGTTACCCTTAAATAATTATACCAAAATAATGAAATGTATTATTTGGAAATATTAATAATAAAATCATCCTTAGAAGACATGGCCAGATTGTAGAGTCAAATGGCCAGATCCCAAGGGTTCATAGGGCATATTCTTATTGCACATGGCTAGGTTCTAAGTGTCCATTGAACTATTTTTATTGCAGGTTGCCATATTCAAGCATTCAATGGTCAGATTCTAAGGATGTGTACTGCAGATTCTTAAAGCACGTGGCTAGATTGTCAGGGTTCATGGTCCAGAATTATATAGGACATGGCTAGATTCTCAAGATTCATGGCCACAATCATTTTGCACATGTACAGATTATAAAGGCTTTTCAAAGCATCTGAACTTAATACAAGGGAGAGCAAAATATATTTGTCCATGGTGATCATATTCATTATTAAAATGAATTTTTGTCTAGAATGATGGGTTCTGGGCAATTATTCTCCCATCAGTTCGGCTATGTCAGAATTCCATGAAGGCCTGATGAACTATACACAATAATATTGAAAATCAATATGAGTAATTCCAATAACAAGGTAATGATATTAGAATATGACCAATGATAATTCTATCAGATTTCGTAACTTTGTTAGGTAAAACTTCAAACTTACTATATTAGGGGAGAATGTTACTAATGATTTAACGAACTTGTGTATAGATTTTAAAAGTCAAAACATGATAGTTTACAATTCCATTTTTTCATTTCTTTCTTCCCCCACCTTTGTCTTGTGTTTATATTTGTTAAACATTTAGATTGAATGCCCTAGGTTTTTTGTAATTGAAAAAAACTCAATAAAATAATATAAAACATAAGCAGAATAATTATGAGCAATTGAACAGTTTTGATGTTAAACTCAATGTTTTTTATGCTAAATAAAGCAGTTTTAGTGTATAGATCATTCCCCTGCAATTTCACTGCTCAATTCACTGTCATTTAGGAGTTAAATCACTTTGTTTCTGTTTATGCAGCCCTAGCCACACCTCCCCTGGCTATGATTGACAGAGCCTGCATGAAAAAAAAAAACTGGTTTCACTTTCAAACAGATGTAATTTACCTTAAATAATTGTATCTCAATCTCTAAATTGAACTTTAAAGGACCACTCTAGGCACCCAGACCACTTCAGCTTAATGAAGTGGTCTGGGTGCCAGGTCCAGCTAGGGTTAACCATTTTTTCATAATTATAGCAGTTTCAGAGAAACTGCTATAATTATGAATGGGTTAAGCCTTCCCCCATCCTCTAGTGGCTGTCTCATTGACAGCCACTAGGTACTTGCGTTTCTCACCGTGAAAAATGAGTGAGAGCATGTTCAGGAAAGTAAATAATTTCCTATGCGACGGGCTGAATGCGCGCTGTGCGCGTGCGCATTCAGCCCAGGAGGAGGATCGGAGGCGGAGAGAAGGAGGAGAGCTCTCCGCCCAGCGCTGGAAAAAGGTAAGTTATTACCCCTTTCCCCTTTCCAGAGCCGGGCGGGAGGGTGTCCCTGAGGGTGGGGGCACCCTCAGGGCACTATAGTGCCAGGAAAACGAGTATGTTTTCCTGGCACTATAGTGGTCCTTTAATCACATACAGGAGGCTCTTGCAGGGTCTAGCAAGCTATTAACATAGCAGGGGATAAGAAAATCTTAATTAAACAGAACTTGCAATAAAGAAAGCCTAAATAGGGCTCTCTTTACAGGAAGTGTTTATGGAAGGCTGTGCAAGTCACATGCAGGGAGGTGTGACTAGGGTTCATAAACAAAGGGATTTAACTCCTAAATGGCAGAGGATTGAGCAGTGAGGCTGCACGGGCATGTTCTATACACCAAAACTGCTTCATTAAGCTAAAGTTGTTCAGGTGACTATAGTGTCCCTTTAATATCCTGTGGATATTGCAAATGCCCTAGCCAGGATCTATTGTATTTCAAATCATTTAGCGTTTATGTGCGGAACAAACAATCATTTTGCATATTTTATACAAACTAAATTAGCAAGTGATTGTTGGATTAATATTTAAATATGAAACACATTCGCACAGACTATTGATAAACTGTTTCAGTGATGAGATAGAAAACCCCCCCAAAAAACAGGGGGGGGGCGACAACTGAACCAATAGGTGATTATATATATTGTTATCTGAGATATAGGATACATTTTAGATCAATAGTCTTGTAAAAATAAAATACATTGCTATTATACCAGCAGTGGTTTTTGTAAATTTTTTTCTAAAGAAATGGTCTAGTGTGAACTCAATGTGTACAGTATAAGAGTATAATTAATATATATATATTATATATATATATATATATTTTTTTTTTTTTTTATAAGGTGCTGCTGGGGTCAATTAATACAACACATAGGATCCAGCAAACTATCACTAAATAACGCACAAATAGTAATCTTTTGTAACTAAATCACCATTATTTTTGTCAGGCGTTTAAAAACACTATAAAACGATATCAATTAAAATTTGTTTTGTTTTGAAGCTGGTGTATAGTGAGCGAGTGCGCTGGATTCCATATGATATATAGATAGATTTAGTAACACTTTGTTTATTTGGTTAGAACAGTGCGCAGATTACAGGGCCGCCATCAGGGGGTGACAAACATGATGGTTATCATGGGCCCGGCGGTGCTGGGGTGCCCGGTCCCACAGACCCCATGTGCACATATATATATATATATATATATAGCGATTGCCACTTTATAGTCCATGGTGGTAGTGTGTATAGTGTAAACACTGCCAGTTCTCACTTAACACACTGCCAATTTTCACTATACACACTGCCATCTCACTTCACACACTGCCAAATCTCACTTCACAATGTACACACTGCCACCTTGCACTATACATGATATACACTACTACTTCCTACTTTACACTATACAGACTGCCACGGCCGCCACCAGAAATTTTGGGGCCCCTAACTGAGCTCAGGGTCTGGGCCCCTGGGGGCCGCCTCCAAATCCCACCCACAAGAATACACACACAGACACATTCACTGATACAAAAGGACACAGATACATACACACACGCACACAGATACATACTAACAGACACACATACTGATATGCGTATAGGCATACATACTGAAACACACATACTGAGACATACACACATAGACACACAGGCGTACATAGTGACAGACACATACGCATAAGGACATACAGACACATTCATAATGACATACAGACAGACATTCATACATACATTCATACAGACACTGACATCCATACATACACACATTCATAATGACATACAGACATACAGTGGCGTACACATGACCCGTGGGGCCCCGGTGCAAAAATTGATCCGTGGGCCCCCCTCCCCCCCGCGCTTACTCGGCGCGGGTCGGGGCCGCAACACATGGCGGCCGGCACCTGGTCGCAGGGCTGCGACCCCGCGACCGCGGTATGCTGCACACCTAAAGGACCACTACAGACACCCAGATCACATCAGCTCAATGAAGTGGTCTGGGTGCCAGGTCCCTCTAGTTTTAACCCTGCAGCTGAAAACATAGCTGTTTCAGAGAAACGGCTATGTTTCACTGAGGGTTAATCCAGCCTCTAGTGGCTGTCTCATTGACAGCCGCGAGATGAGATTCCGCAATTCTCACTGTGAAAATCACAGTGAGAAGACACTGAACATCCATAGGAAAGCATTGAGTAATGCTTTCCTATGGGTGGTTTAAATGCGTGCGCGCGCCTCTTGCCGCCCATGTGCATTTGGAGCTGAGAGGCGGAGGGATCCCCAGCGCCAAGAAAGTCCGGTGCTGGAGAAAGGTAAATGCTGAAGACACACTCTCACAAACAGATGCATACACACTAGCTAACAGACACACATTTACTGGCAGAGACACTCAGCGACAGACATACATGCACACTCACTTACAAAACATACACTCTCACTGACAAACACACACACTAACACTTTTTTTAATTGAATCCCTCCAGCCTCCTTACCTTTTGGAGTGCTTGGGGGATTCCCTGGGGTCCAGTGGTGGTGCTGCTGGGCTCCTGGGCAGGCGGGTGAGCGGGCTGTCTGGCTGGCCGGCGCACGAGGAAGCACTCTCCCCTGAGTGCTTCCTCTTCAGCTCCCTCGCGCGCCGAGTAGGGATGCCGAAGCCGGAAGATGACGTCATCTTCCGGCTCCGGTATCAGTGCAGTGCGCGAGGGAGCGGAAGAGGAAGCACTCAGAGGAGAGTGCTCCATCGCGCTCCGGCCACCCAGACAGCCCGCTCGCCAGGTGTCAGCAGGGCCAGCCTCGGGGGGCCCTGGGGTGGCCGGCCACTGCAAACATACCTACATGTATACAGACAGACAGACAGAGACATACACACATACACACGTAATGACATGCATGCAGACATTCATACAGACACTGACATCCATACATACACACATTCATAATGACATCCAGACATTCATACACACATAATGACATGCATACAGACATACTGGCATACATACATTCATACAGACACTGACATCCAGACAGACATTCATAATGACATGCAGACATACATACATACATACATACATACTGACATACACACACAAAGACATAGACATACATACACACACAGCTCATTTTCCTGACACCCTCCTGTCTCTTACCTTGTCTTTGCAGGAGGGTGGCTGGGGCGCATGGGACTGGGAGTAGGCTGGCTCTCCCTCTTCATTGCCGGGCACGTGCTCCTCCCGCGCGGAGTGAGCTGGGAGGAAGTGACCACTTCCTACCAGAAGCACTTGCGCTGCGGCGGCATTTTTATTTTTAAATGGGCCCGGCCGCGCTATACCACGGCCACAGCGCTGACCGGGCCCCTGAAGATATGGGGCCCATTGGGTGGCCCTAAGTGCGTGGGCCACCTGATGGGCCCCATCAGCGTGCAGGCCGCGGTAGAACTGCACCGGCGGCAGTTCCACCACTACGTGTGGGGCCCGGGCGGCTGGGCACCCCAGGGCCACGACAACCGTTATGGTTGTCACCCCCTGATGGCGGCCCTGGTAGTATCCTTTGCACAATAAGTGACAAGCCAATGTATTTCACTCGCAGAATGTCAGGATAGTATGAGCCTGTGGGTGCCTCCACCAATAGTAGTGGGGGGCTCAGAAAGATCCTCCTTGTAGAATAGTTATACAGCCGGAATCAGGGAGGTGGTAGAAAAAAACCTATTTTATTCAAATTTATTAAAATATCAGTATAATCACAGCCAAAAGTCAGATCACAAGAGTGAAACGGAATTGTTCCAAAATGTTGGATTTCAAAAAACAAGCAAATCATATTAAGGAGAAGCTAATACAAAGAGGTTATAATAAAAAATAGTATAGAAGGAGAAATGAGTGTGATATCACATAAAGAAAGAGGTGGGCTTCTTACAAATAACGATAAAAATAAATAAATCATCAAATAGTGATTCATTTAAGTGTGCCTTTTTAACACAATATAACACCCACCATACAGAAATTAAAAAAAAAGGCTGGAAAAACACTGGTCAATCCTACTTAACGATCCGATGATAGGTCCTGTAATACTAAGATATCCCCAGATGATTTATAAGAAAAAACAGAATCTTGATAGCTCCCAGCTACGTAAAAAAAAATAAAAAAAAATTTGATGTAAATGATTTAAGTGTTGCCAGGTATGCAAGGCTTGTAATACCATACAGATGGTGAAGGCCACCAATTTTGAAAGTACTGTAACAGATCCCCCCTTTTTTTGTTGGATCTGTAATATATGTTGTAACAGCCTCCTACCATGTTGCCTGGGAACCTCTACCTGTTTTCCTGCCATCCTCTACATTGCCAGGCACCTAAGAACAAAGACTGTTTCTGGCCCTTTAACTGTGTTGTGCAAAGAATAGGTATGTTTGATATGGCACTTCGGATACAGCCGAAGTGCTGAAGTGGCCGCCATTAGACAATCGAACACGTGGCAGCGGCCATTTTAATGCAGTCGAACGCGGTTCCCCTACCCTTCGACAATGCGGTTGGAGACTAAGTCTCATTCGAAGATTCGAACATACTTTCGAATGGGACTTTGTCATCATTTTGGTGTAAAATAGACTGCCACTCAACTAACGACTATCGTGGAAACTTAACCCCGTTTTACTTCAACACTTCGATAGAAGTCGAAGTGCGTTCGACTATTCGAACGCAGCCTTCAGATGGGACTTTGTTATTTTTCATGCAGAAATAGACCAACCGCACAGCCTGAACCTGTGGAACTGTTTTGGGCATGCAAACAGGCGTGCAGTCGGTCCAAAGAGACTTTTCAATATCTCTGGAACCACTGAACGGATGTGCACGAATTTTGAATATGTTTGTCCCCAAGTTGTGTTGTTCATAAAAATAAAAGTTATTCATGTAGGATGAAAAATCATAAAGTTATAAAAATGCATAAAAAGTACACGTTTTAGCTTGAAGATAATGGAGTAGATATAGTAAGAAACTCAATTATCTCCCAAGCAGAGGGGAGGGAATCTGTGGGTTGTAACCATTGTCTGATTGGTTAATGTCTAAATGTCTGTGGGCGTCTCCCTTGCATGGGAGCATTGCATAAAAGGAGAGTACCTGCCATTAAATCTCAGTTCTACTTCACCCTCAATCTAGAGTCCTGTCTCTTATTGGGGGTAACCACTATGCAGCTATTCACACTAGCTCTTGTAAGAGCTTCTTCACTTGGAACACGACTGAATGCTGAGAATCCTCCTCACTGATCGGGAAAAGGACACCCTCCAGCGGTTGAAACCCCTCTGCTACATGGGGTAACCGCTACAA